TCCTGCTTCTCCGCCAAGTTATAGCGAGCGCACGGGTCGCTCGCTACCTCTCTTTCAATTTCGGAAAAGCCAGCCGCCCCCCCCCCTCCCGGTTCACCATCTTGCTCCGCAGCACCGTGATTTGCCGCGGAAATTTAACGGAAATTCCACTACATTTTCGATAAAAAACAAGTATTGTTGGCTATCGTTCCTAAAAGAACCAATCTGCGAGCTGATTATCAACAGTGATAGACAAAGGGAAAATTGGACTGCATTTTGCAGTGGATCAGTTGCGCTGATCACAGAATCGTGTTTCGATATTCGATTTTTGTGGATCACCTAAAAATATTAAGATCCGTCCAAACAGAAACTTTCAACGTTCAATATCAATCGAGATATCGAACTTTGAAAAATTCGATTTGTGACGTCATCCATCGCGGCAGTGCGACACCCTCGGTTTCTCCCACCTTGCTTTCATTCGAGTTTCACGTTGAGTACCCAGTGCAAATGTGCACTAGAAAAAAATACCCATTGTATCTAGAGTCCAGACTCTTAAAAACATTGACAAGAAAAAAAAGGCTCTTGATTCAATCAGATTTAAGCTTAAATCAAAAGGATATTTGCGTAAATTAAGAGGCTTGGTTCTTGATTCAAGCTTAAATCTGATTGAATCAAGAGCCTTTTTTTCTTGTCGATGTTTTTAAGAGTCTGGACTCTAGATCCAATGTGGCTTTTTTTTCCAGTGTGTGTCTCACTAATGACTCTCAGACTTGATAATTTTAAGTTTGAAATTCCGGAAGACTCAGTTTCGAGAAAAAGTTACCGACAGTTTTCATCTACCACACTCAGGTCTCAAAATCGTTGGATTTAAATACTTTGCGCCTCATAATTGGACGGAGTTGAGCGAAATAGTCTCGTCGATTTTGCGGTGTTTCAAAATCTCATCTTTTATTTTAATTTTTTGGAACCAATATCCTTCGTGATGAGAGTCACGAATTCCTTTCAATCGTAGTTTTTCTTATATCGGCCCCTATGACGGTGTCTAGGGGCACAGAAATTTTCGATTTTACCGGGTTTTCGTCTTTAGCTCGGTTCCAAGCAGCTAGATTTCACCGTAGTTAAGTTCCGTCCAAGTGAAGCGCTTTAAGAGTTCACTCAAAGTTACTCTCCGCATTGCGTCGAGCGTTTCGCGGCGCGAATGATTTGGCATCTCCTTTGTTGTAATCACGTGATCGCTTTGGTCCCGAGCCAAATTTCATGTTTATAATACCAAGGGCAAACAAATAATGAAAATAGCATCCAAATTAAGCCGCTGCCTTTCGGGCGACTTTTTCTCCTTTCCCTTGCTCGAGAACCGATGGCAACTCACCCTCTCTTGTGAAACTCTTCGCTAACTCGAGGTCGTTTTCGAGAAGGCTGTCGTCGGCGAAAGATTTCCTCCTAACTTCGCACAGAGTCACCATGCCAGCAGAGCTTTTTTTGTTCGCGCTACCGCGTTGGAATTCGTGCCATTCGCGTATCTCCATGAAAAATCGTGTAGCTCGTGTCGGAGCTAGGAGGATAATTAATAGTTGGTTTTCTTAATCCCTTGATTTTGAATTTGAAGCCGTTTAGAGGATGCCCCCCCCCCCTTTTTACCGTCGGGTCTGGTCTGGACTGAAGCCAACCGGTTACTTGACGAGTGACTTGACCCTGTGTTAGATGCAGGAACCCAAGTACAGTGCGATGCGAATGATATAATAAAATTTGCGGAATGAAGTGAAGGAATTGCAATATCTTCACATCATTTGGTCAATAAATGCTGAGTTTGAACAATCAGCAAGATGAGATAAATAAGTCAGAAAGGTAGGCAATTTGCAATGCAACGAAGAGTCGCAAATTATTTCAATTTTAGTGCAACGAATTGCAATAGGAAGTGCCCCTTCAATTGGAAGATAGGCAACATACACAACATTCCGATACAGTCTGATATAGATAGTCCGGGTAGGGGTTAGGTGTAGGTAGGTTAGGTGTAGTGAGTTTTTAGGTGTAAGTCCAATCGGAATAGTAGCTAAATATTCAGCAGAAAAAAAGATTTATGAAAATCAAGGAAATTTATCCTATCCCAGTTAAAGGCAAATGATAGCCCAAAAAGCCATAGCCGTAGAGTAAACTTTGCGGCAATGAATAATGATCTAGTGGCTACTTCATTCGATTTTTGGTCGTTTTATATAAGCGCGGGAAAACTGTCGATATTAAAACATATAATTTAGTCTGGGAGGAACCACCGCATATATCGAATATCGATTGACGCACCTACATAGTCACTGAATCTGTCTATTTGGCTCACTTGGAAACCCAATTTCGTCCGAGCCTTGTTCCTTTGAAAAAAATGACTCACGGTTGAGGCAAAGAGTTCGGCTGTTGCTCCGCTTTTGCGAGAAAGTCAGACACAAAGCATAAGCTTGTCAATCAAACTACATCATGTAGGCACGTTGCCAACACCGAAATAACGCGCACAAGACCAAAAATTATGAAGTCATTGTACCCGAGCCGTATCCGCCAGAACTCGTCTATGGGGAAACCGGCAGTTTCATATTCTTTAATTAATTAAGTAAAGAAAAGTAAATAAATAAAATGATCCTACTTCATTTTATGAGTGGATCACTAAACGGGACCATGTAAAACTTTTGAACGCCCGTTTAAATTATGAACAGCTCACTCAATCAGACCAAAACAAACAATAAAAGCGACTCCACAGGGGACGTTCCTTGTTGCATTCATGTACACCGTGTTTCCCTCCAACTTCATACGGATTGAAAATGATGGTAGCGCCTAGGTTTTATCTCTCTAGTTACATCACTGATGAAACTGTTAAGTCACTAACCTTAAGTTGGCGAAATCGTATTCTCTCCATTTAAACTTGTGTTAAGTAATTGATTCTTATCGGAACATCGATTAATTTCCATAGGTTTAAATGGTGAAAAAACAATGTTGCCAACAGATTTGCGAACGGAGCATATACATAAACAGTCGTTAACCATTCTTTTTTCCATTTAATCACAGTAATTGATGAATATCACTTGTTGCTTGTTGCGTTGCTCCACCTGCATCACTGACGGTGTCAGAGGAAGTATCATCATTAACGCTTGTTTTAGACTAAACGCAGCGGATAACTTCTTCCACAGTGTTTTTTTAATAGGGGTATTTTCTTTATTGGACCGAGAAAATGACGATTGAAAGGATATTTTCAATTTGACCATCAAAAGTCGATTCTGTAACAAACTTATGACTCTCCCATTGGCTCGTATGGTGTTTCATTTGAATTCATAAGGTCACGCGCGACAAATAGCTTAACGTTTGCCCATTATATGAATAATCACCTATCAATATGCGCAAATCAAATGCGCCTGTTTATAATGGTTCCAAACAAATAGGCATATTTTTTAGGAAAATAGGAAGGGGACCTAAATCTATTGCGCTCTTCATTTTCAAGCGAAACAGATCAAACAGTGATGAGAAAAAAAATTATTTAAAAATTATTATTCCCTTCTCAAAATGATTTTCTCGAAGAACGACACAGTCGTGTACCAGGCCAAACCAGGCATTGTCCTCTATAAATCAGGTACCTAACCTCGATCGTACGGAAATTTTCCTCCTATTTTGTCCTTCAAGCGAAAGATACCCAAAGATTGAAAAGCCATCAGAAATTTTCATCACGGAACCGACCTCAATTCTAAATTTTCATTTCCATTGGAGGCCAGACCCTCGTCACAAACTCTCCAAAATATAATCGTAATAAAATGGTGGCATCCTTCGACAAAATCCTCAGAAGCGACAGAGCTTACTGGAAGCCCACGAATGAAGGGAGAAGGTTACATATATTGCCATTCCGCCTTCAATTTCGAACTGAGTCGCACATTATCCTCCATACAGAAAAGGTATCCGATATTCACATCATGAAAGTAACGATAAAATTCTTTCCGGAAAAAGTGCTTCCTCTAGTGTCGTTGTCCAATCCAAAACGTGGAGGAAGCCGAGAAATGCGCTAATTTTGCTTTCCTCTCAATTTTTTTTAGGCAGGCCAGGAAACACCGCACCGTTTGTGCATCAATCAATAGTGATCAATTTGACCGCCTATAATTGTGTCTTGCATTGTCCAGATCACGGTACTAGCTTTATTTTCTCACTATAGTCCGTGACTGACAATTTTAAATGATACGTGTAACAGAATTCACTCCCAATTGTCTTCGGGGAAACAGTATTTTCGCAACGTGTTTCAAGTGGCGCAGTACATTGTAGTAACACGATACAATTATTATTACTGCACTAGAGTGTTGTCTATGTTGCCTATCTATTGATTGAAGGGACCCTCTTCATTGAAATTTATTGCAATACGCTTTTTCACTGTATTGCAAATTGCCTTTCTTTCTAACACACGAATCTCATCTTCCTCATTGTGTTTAAACTCCTTATCCATCAACCAAATTATGCAAAAATATTGCAATTTTATGGTAAAAAATTAGCAATCGTAAAACATCAAATCACAATTGTATTCCAAAATGTTCATTGCACTGTGCTACGCGCAGTTTGCAGAAAACGCATATCGACGGGGAAACTACCAAACCACGTATCTCGGTTTGCGATGTCGCAAACTTCCTGTCATACTTTATTTTTTAAATGAAACACTACTTGATGAAAATTACCTTTCTCCCGATGCAGCCCGATAAAAATAAGTTCAACTTTAAATGAAACACTACTTAACGTCTAGTATTGAAAATTTCTGTGATTTTTCCTCTTCGTGCGGAGATAATTCTGTGAAAATTTCAAGGAATGATATTGATTTGGTCTACTTGAAAAAAATAAAATAAGAGTGTAGATTTTTAAACACCGCAAACGAGATACGTGGTTTGGTAGTTTCACCGTCGATATATCCTCTATTGCGTACACCGGAGGCATCACTAAACAAAGGACCCCCTTCACATCCCTCCCAAGAAAAACTAATTTCAGCGACTCTGGAAGAGTTGCAAGTAGAGCTTTACCTTAGAGCCAGACTCAACGTTCAGTTTTAGTTCCGGCCGGGGCGATCTGCAGGATATCCGAATGCGCACACACAATTTAATAATAACAATAATAAAAAGCTCGGGAGCAGAACACAGCAACAAAGCGAACTTGTTTCTCGGGTCGAAACACTTCGAGGTTTGAAGCGGATCTGCATCGAGCAGACGGATCTACGCCTGCTAATTATAGCCGCCAAGATTTTGGCAGGGGGGAGCTGCCAGGGCCCGGAGCGTAAGAACGTAAGAACCTAGGTCCCTCACCTCCCGACCGCGGTGCTGTCCCCTGAGTAAGAACCGCGTAACTGGAGTGGGAACACGCGTGCAGATGCGTGGTTTGGGGGCCGGAGCTTTCTCGGATGGCTCCTCTTCAAGGACCTCGCGTGAGAACCCGAGAAATTCGGGGACCATTAACCACCGAAAAGTCATCACTCCGACCCAAGGTCGCCGCTAACAAAGAACCCTTGCCTATTCTCCCGTCTATTGCAAAAACTTCGTATCTCCAATATAGATTTGCATGACATATTTCGTATAGTTTTACGGACGGAGGCACGTAACTTCATTCCAAGGTTTTAAAATTGACTCAAATAATTCAATTTTTTACGAGGATATAGTAATATACCGGTGTAATTATTGTCTAGAATTTGTCTGATTTTTGCACGAGATCAGAGGAAAACCAGTTAAATTTTCGATCAGAAATTCTCAAGAAATTCTTAGTACCAATGCAATTTGCGAGGGGAAATTTGGCAACATTAAAATGTAGTTACGCTCTTTCGTGAAGAGAACGACAATTTGCAATTACGAAGTATTATCTTTAGCTCATACGTAAAAGCATCTATCTGCATGGGAAGAATCCAAGTAGGAGAAAAGGAGGAAGAACTAGAGGAGGGTGGAGAGGAGGGTCTGAACGGTAAGAGGAGGAAAAATAAGAAGAAGAAGAGGGGATGGAAAAAGGAAAAGTGGAGAAGATAAGGAAGAAGTAGAATGAAAACAAGGAGAATAATTCATGAGGAAAAAGAGGACAACGAAGATGGAGAGGAAAGAAAAAAAGGAGAAAAAGAGGAGGCAGAAGAAGAGAAAAAAAGAACACAACTAAAACAACAGTATGTGTTACCTGTACTAAAAAATAAAAATTGAAGGCGAACTGAAATGGCGTTAAAGTGTAACATTTTCCGGTTTGGTAGAAAACTGTTTTCTTTAATTACGAGGAAGCGATGCCATTTCAAGATGATACCACTATTCGATCACATAGGAGCGTGTGTTGCCTACACTAAAAATTGAAGGCGAACTGAAATGACGTTAAAGTATTCTCTGTCGGTATGGTAGAAAGCTGCATTTGAGCGTTTCTTCATCTTCTTCTTTCTCTTTTTTCTTCCTCTTCTCCTCGTTCCTCTTTTCATCTTCTTTTCGGGTAGGGAGAATAAAATGAAAAACAGCGTTCAGGGAGCTTTTACGTTATTTACCGTCTATTGTTGAATGGTAATTGATCTTGACCCCCAATCTGAACTCAACCTTTATATCAATAAAAATTTGAATAAGTTGATATGATTCTATCAAAAGTTACCACTATTCATACAAGGAAGGCGCCGATAAAAACAGCGTGACTACTAAACGAGAGATGGATTATTGGATTATCAACTACACGTAATCCGGGTTCGATTCAACGGGTTCGGTTCGGGGAGTTGAATTTTTTCAACCAAAAAATTTGGTAAATTTAAGCGCAAAAATAATTAAACAAATGGAATGAACCCAAAACTACTTCGTAGTCTACTTCCCAAAATAAAACTTAAAATTTTGAATACTTTTTATCACTTTTTTGAGGTCTTTTTCCCTGCCCGACCCGCTTATCAAACCACACGTTGTTTGTTAAACAATTTCCAAATCACGTTATACAGCATTCAACAAGGAGGTGATTTAAGATGTTTCGTGGTGCGTAAGCCGCGAAAGTGAGAGTTCCCACCTGTCATTTGTCTCTGTCGGACGCCCCTCGTTTTCCGCGGTCAGTGCCAAATTGTCGCTCCTCTGACGTAAGGGCGCATCTCGATTTTGCATGAGCCCCAGAAAGCATGTATTCATATGTAAAACAGGACTCACATGGATATTGAGATATGCCCTTACGTCAGAGGTCGGAAACGAGCCAGTCCCATAAGACGCAGAATCGTGTTTTCATTGTTAATTCTTATTGAGCAGGAAAATGCAACGAGACCTACCAAAAGACAAGTCAAATACTGCCGTGCTAAGGAAAAACGCCGTATGAACCTTTACGCGTTGCCAAAATTCCTTTAATGTAACACGAATTACCTGGTAAACCTATAAGTGTTTTCCTTCCATTTCTTCAGATAATTTTGTTCGCCATTTCACCTTAAGCGCCTGAAAATTTCAAGGAAAAATATTTATAACTTTCCTAAAAAATAAATATTTTATCGAAAGAAATCTGACAACTCTCGAATGATCATACGACGTTTTTCCTTGGCACGGCCAAACCATCTTTATGCCCACTTTTTCTGGTTTTGCAACAAACGCAGTGGCGAGGCGTGAATGATCGATTATATAAATTTCTCCCATTGAAGCTATGGCTAAGGATCGGTTATCAAGGTGTTCGTTGCGAACACCCTGTCTATCGATCCTTTTCTTTAGGTTCGAATGGCAGATCTATCGATTTATCGCAAAGCATGCCACTCCACTGAATGAACGGGAAGAGCGATCACTTTATTTGCCTCCCCCTTACCACCCCTTTTTTGGGGCCGCTACTCGGCTACGGCAACAGAAAGAAAGCCCCGTCAGCAGGATGATTATTGCAATTGATGGACAAAGCAATAGACATAGGGAAAACGGAGCAATCCTATTAGTTGAAGCGCGGTGGTTGTTATGCACTATGGGGGAAAATGATGGACTTTATAGGGTCTCCCGCCGGTTGCTGTTAGTTAGGCTACCCAAGTAGCATTTTTCAACGGGAAAATCACGAAATTTTGAATTTAAGTTTTTTAATTTAATTTTTTTTAGTAAAATTTTTCAGTAAAATTTGACAGGAGTTATGTAACGTCGCGATTCCAGATACCTACGTGGTTTGGTAGTTTCACCTTCATTATCAAATTATTCTCCGTTCCCCCTCGTTCCGCAATCGATGAATGCGCGGAAGGAGACCAAGTTCATCACGGCGCCTGGATGCGACTATTCGTGCTCCATGGACGCGCGTGTTGCATGAAAAACTTGAAGGCGCTCTAGTTTTTCCTTGCTCGCACCGAAATACGCGCAGTGCGCATGTTGCGCTGCGCGCCGCGCCGGCGCGATGCTAAATAACTACAGCGGTGGCGGAAATACCAAATCACGGACCTCTCATACAGTAAATTTTTCGGTTTGAAATTTTTCACTCGTTTTTCATCCTTTCGTGATAATGAGTCTCAACTTTTTTTGCACGAAATTTCTAGGGAACATATCCTCAAAAAACGAAGAAAAACAAACAATATGTTGAGCAAGAACGATAATCAGTCCCTCTTTGGATAGTAAAATGTGGCAGGAGATTCGCAGGAAGGTCGCAATACGAGTTATAAACGTAGGTTGGTAATTTCACTTTCACCACCTTTTCATTACTCTTTAGATTAGATAACAACAAAGTGAAACAATCACAAGTTCTCTCGTTGTCTATGGTCAGTAGTGATTTTTTTTTCTAATTTCTTTCATGAAATACGTAACGTTGAAGAAAGCCGGGGGTCATGGAATGTGTTACGCTGTTTTCTTTACGAGTTAAGGGAAATGGACTCGCGGCACACAAGCGAAATGAGGGACGGGGGAGGGGGGGTTGCGAATAATCCGAAATTTAGCGTCACGTATTTTATGGGCGGCCCCATAAAAAGAGTCAAATCTAGTCCCTATTAATTGTCCTTAGACGTCAAGGAATGACACACACAACAATGCCCTAGGCTATCTAAATTTTCAGGGATTGAGGCAAAAAGGAATGAACCTGCCTCTGCGCGTGGTTTTTGCGATTGAGCACAGGGGAGAGTTTCATGAGCCGCCGCCCGCGGCGCACTATAGTCCAGAACTCAAGAACTAGGAAGAAATAAGTCGGAACATGACTGGAAGATCACGAAAGTTTCGTAACTATTGTTTTTTTAGTCGCTAATTGCAAAGATTTTAACAACCTGACCTATTAATCGTGGGCAAGTTCATGACACGCTGCGGTACAGAGTGCAGCCAGCTCGAAGCGCACATTGGCGCCTGCAAACCTAAAGGGACACTTCACGTATTGCGCAATGCTTGAAGTATCCCCTTAGGTTTGTAAGCGCCATGTACGCATTGCGCAATGCTTGAAGTATCCCCTTAGGTTTGTAGGCGCTATGTACGCATTGCGCAATGCTTGAAGTATCCCCTTAGGTTTGTAGGCGCCAGTGCACGCTCAGCGCGCCGCTCCGCGGACGGCGCGGCGTAAGGCGGCTCATGAAATTCTCCCCTGCGCTCTGTCATAGTTTTTGGGACTTTGCCACAGATTTGAAAAAATCTCCGTTTCCCGCGCGCGCTAATGGATGGGTGATACCACCGACTAACAACAAAAACCGTACCAAAATTGTGAGGTTATGTGTTTATATTGATATTGATTGATTACGGGGCGAGCCGATCGAAATTGATTGTGTGATCGGTTATCAATTTATTAATTAGCCTTTTATCTTCAGTTTTTTACGTGCTATGTATATTTCCATTATGTTATACATATAGTTTTATTTTCCTTCTAATTACATACTTGTAGGTACTTCTAAGAGAATGAACAGTTCCTCAACAAACCAGAGCTAATCATCAACTGACGGATGGCTGAATTGCTTTTAGATCCCAACATTCGTTGTTGGGTATTTTTACCCATCGTAGTCATTACTTTCTTGGTAGGAATTGTGAGGCACTATGTCTCGCTTCTTATCACAACTCAGAAGAAAGCAGAAATCACGCAGATTCAAGACAGGTATGTGTTACTGTTTGCCCGCACCACCCTTTAATGTCAAAGTTACTTTATTTCAGAGTTTTTATCGATCAATTTTGGGTCTCCAAACCAGTTTGTGTAAATGTAAGTTATGCCACACCTTGCTGGAACCTAGCAACCTCCTAAAGATGCAACTAATGAACCTAGGAAGGAGGCGTCTCCATGGAGAACAATGAAAATTTTACAATTTTATTTGTTTCAAGGAAAGCTAAAACTTGCCAAGTATGAGGCTCAATCAAATTGTGAGCCAAATTTAAGTATCCTGCTATTGAAAGGATTCAAATTCTGAGTGTAATTGAATGAGCTCTTCTCTACTGATCGTCACTGGCACGAAGGAACGTACCTATTCTGTCTATGGTGTTCCAGCACTTCTATGATCATTTTTATGGTCAGTTTATGTTTCATGCATGGGAGAACCGTCCCCTGAATAAGTCTGATATTTCTAAGCCTTTTTAACAAATGTCAAAAAGAGTCATTACAAGTTTCGAACAAGCCACAATCATGGCCTAGTTGCGTCGTCACCCCTGTCGCCCTCTGATTGGTAGGGTTTTAATTGGCTCTCTCTCCCTTTCTAAGGGATTTATTCAAACTCTCTTAAGACTTTTTTGGTTTTTCATGAAACTTTACCTTTAGTAAAGCCATCAGATAAGATGCAGAATTGCTACACAACTGACCCATTACAATTTCCAGGGAAATTGTGCAAGTTCCATCGCAGTATCCTATGATATCTGTACTTTATAAGTATTTCCCTGTGACCATTGGTGTGAAAATTGCTTAAGTTTTGGTTTTTAGAAAAAAAGAAAAAATTAAAAAAAAAAACTGGATTTCGTAACGAAACAGGATTAGCTAATAGGCCACTTGAATGAATAATAATAATAACCAAAAAAAAAAAATTAGTTTTCATTACAACAAAGGGAGTTCCTAATTTGATAATTTTCTGTCTATAGCCAAGTTATGTTGAGAGCTAGAGCTTTACGAGAACATGGAAAGTATCTACCAAAACAGTCATTCCTCATGAGGAGACACTTCTTCAATAATGAAGAGACAGGTGAGAAATTACTTTAATATTTTATGATTCTGTTAAATGCAGTACAGCTTGTTGGAATGTGCTTTCCCTCTTTAAAGGGTGTTCCATTTATTTCCAGTAAGCTATCAAAAATGCCGGGTTAAAACGTAGGGGTGCAAACAGTTCTAGACCTCCAAAATTTTGGAACGCACTAGATTTTCGCGAGAAGGTCAACACAACATGCTGATTAAAATTGTTTCAAATATTTTTTTCCGATTTGCAAATTTCATTCAGCTGCTAATTTACAATATAATTCTCAGAATCATGATTGCGCTCTATAAACTGTCGAATTTTTGATACGATGCATTATAATTAAATATTTTGAGCTGTAGTAATAGTATTTCAACATAAAGCAAAACATTTTCATTGCCTCTTGTGGTGTCTAATAAGTAATCATTTTGTGCTATTTTTGAAAGAAAAGCTTTATCTGTGTCTTCTATTCTTTATGAATATCTTTTTAATTTTTTTTTCAGGTTACTTCAAAACTCAAACTAGAGCAGCTCCAGCGCAGAACCCTATGACAGATCCAAGTATGCTGGTTGATATGCTGAAAGGGAATGTGACTAATGTCTTGCCCATGATCATCATAGGAGGCTGGATCAATTGGATGTTCTCCGGTTTTGTCACAAGTAAGTTTTTTTATTAATTCCAACAGCCTTTGTCAGTCAATCTTTGGCAATCAAATCGACCTTCTACAGTGTATTAAAGAGCTTGATGCAAAAACGGCTTTTTTCGCCCCCCCTCTGGAAGTTCTTCAGACTTTGTCTATTGATTACTCATACTTGAGCGCTTCTTTTCCCAAATTTTCAGACCCCCAAAAAATTTTGGGGGGGAGCTAGGGGGAGTGGAAGTCAAAACCTGTGAACCTCAATATCTCTTGAACAAAGAAAGATGTCGAGGTCCGGTTTGAACGAAAAATCGTTTAAAATTGCATACTTTAAGATTCTAAAGGTCGAAATCCCGATATCACATTTTTAAGTCAACATATGTGCTTTTTTACAGTTTTTAGGTCTAGAAAATTTCTTTTAAACGAAGAATTTACAAAGATCTCAATTTTTTATTTGAACCAAAACCAGTTTTTTCAATTGTTCGTCTTTTCCCGCACCCAACGAGTGGTCCATTAAGCTGGGGAACCAAACGGTTCCGGAGTTATGATCGATTGAAGTTTCCGCTCAACGCGCGCCGACCGATTTTTGCGCGCAAAAAAGTCGGATTTGACTGTTATTAGATCAGATTGAATGTTCAAACTGAGCAAAATGCTTTATTAGGGAATCTTGAGGGTCGCTGAGTTCAGGAATTACCGATACTTCCAAAAAATTCACGTTTTTAAAATTACAGCTCCGTAGCGCTATTTTAGAGGCCCACTGAGCGCCGACCGGCCGCTCAGTGGTCCTGTCCGAAGCTGCAATTTTAAAAACGTGAATTTTTTGGAAGTATCGGTAATTCCTGAACTCAGCGACCCTCAAGATTCCCTAATGAAGCATTTTGCTCAGTTTGAACATTCAATCTGATCTAATAACAGTCAAATCCGACTTTATAGCGCGCGAAAATCGGTCGGCGCGCGTTGAGCGGAAACTTCAATCGATCATAACTCCGGAACCGTTTAGTTCCCCAGCTTAATGGACCACTCGTTGGATGCGGGAAAAGACGAACAATTTAAAAAACTGGTTTTGGTTCAAATAAAAAATTGAGATCTTTGTAAATTCTTCGTTTAAAAGAAATTTTCTAGACCTAAAAACTGGAAAAAAGCACAGATGTTGACTTAAAAATGTGATATCGGGATTTCGACCTTTAGAATCTTAAAGTATGCAATTTTAAACGATTTTTCGTCCAAACCGGACCTCGACATCTTTCTTTGTTCAAGAGATATTGAGGTTCACAGGTTTTGACTTCCACTCCCCCTAGCTCCCCCCCAAAATTTTTTGGGGGTCTGAAAATTTGGGAAAAGAAGCGCTCAAGTATGAGTAATCAATAGACAAAGTCTGAAGAACTTCCAGAGGGGGGGGCGAAAAAAGCCGTTTTTGCATCAAGCTCTTTAAAACTAGCATAATTAGGTTTAATACTTTTCTGTAGTCATCTACTTTATTAATAAAGAAAAAAAAGAAAAAAATCAGTGTATGGGTTCTGGTGCTAGCCCCATGATCAGGGGATACTAGGTTTGATTTCCGGCCAGGTGACCTGAGTTTGAAGGTCTTGAGCAAGGGTCACCTGGGGTTGGATGTAAGAAGATTATTAGATTGACCGCAGGAATAGACCTGGAAGGCTGTTTAAAAAATGGGGGGATTTAAACATCAATTCCTCAAGAAAATGGAGCAAGGAGTTTTTTTTTTTTGCTTGGCCTATATTTTTTGGAAATAACTGATGACACACATTAAGTGCATTTTCAACAATTGAGGCCTCAGACTGGGCAATGCTGTCCTGCTGAGGAACAGCTTTTTCCTGGTTTTACTATTTTCTAAAAAATACAGGTCCAATTTTAGGGGTGTATGCATCAAATCTCAATTTAGATGTAAAAGCAAGGGAAAGTCTATAACTGTTTATACTTTCTGTGTTAAATTTGATTCAATTTCCATTTTATCATACATTTCTTGTTGAAACATTTGCTATGCTCATGACAAAATTTCTAATTTTTTTTTTCAGCCAAGGTACCATTCCCTCTAACTCTTCGATTCAAACCTATGTTGCAAAGAGGAGTGGAATTAGTATCTCTGGATGCAGCCTGGGTATCCTCTGCTTCTTGGTATTTTCTGAATGTCTTTGGTCTCAGAAGTATCTACGCTCTAGTATTAGGAGAAAATAATGGTGAGTCTTACATTTTTTCTCTCTTTTCCTTGAATGATGAGAGGAACTAATCCTAAGCTCTCCCTCGCCCTTTTGTAGATTACTTCAATAACCTCTTGTCCCTGGCACTCAATAGTTTATTCACAGCAAAACTTGTGAACATAAAAGAGGCACCCTGTATTTGCAAATGGGAGGGGTATAGAGTCAGTGGACCCCCTGCGGACTCTTTGAACTGTCAGATCTAAACAAAGATTCAAAGTTGACCAATCACGAAAGTAAAATTTCCCCATCATTCAGCTGATTCTAAAGAAAGTTTGATACAATTTATATAGCGGTTTCTAGTGAAATTTGGTTTTTCGGCGTTGTTAACAAATTTCACCAAAAATCCTAAAAATTGCATCAGACGTCTTCTAGAATCAGCCAAATAAGGAAATCCTATATTCATGATCGGTTAACTTTAAACCCTTTTTTTCAACCTGAAATTTCAAAAGGTCTACATGAGGTCCAGTATCTAGTGGGGTCCTCTGACCCTAGCACTTAAAAATTAAAATTTTCACAATTTCATAGGAAATTTTCAAAAATTACTATCAGGGCAAAGAGAACTTTGCTTGCAGTTGCTAGTGTGGCTTTTGATATTTTCAAATCGCCTTTTCTCTTTCAAACATCAATTTTGTCATGTCGCATACAATGTAGAGTGTCGAAAATCTCTTCAGTGATGACTAATTGAATGTGATGGACCACTAGATGAGATTTGAACTAAAGAAAAACTGCACACGTCCTCTATTCTAAGTCTTTTTAGAAAGCAATCCACAAAGCTGGAAGTTTGGAAATCAACCTTTGAACGAGATATTAACTAGTATTTTTAACAAAGCTCAAGCGGAAGTTAGATTATACAATTTATGTCATTCGTATTTTTTCCATTGTAACTCATAAAAATGTATATCTTTTTTGGGAGTCGATCTCCAGACTTCTCGTTGTGTGATTCATTTTCCTGTAAAATTTCAGTGCGAAAACTTTTTACGAAGTGCTTTATTTCATACCTTGTTCAAGGGCCCATTAAAATGAATTGTTATTTCAAAATGATCTTTAAAAACATTTCATCTGTATGCTCATGTAATCATGCCTAGTAATGGTTGACGAAAAAGTTGCGGTAACACTGTTGTAACGTTTCTAAAACCCTTTTAGGAATCATAACCGGGCAGTATGCCTACAAGGTCAAAGTTTACTCTCTCTTGACCCTACAATAAACATTGTATCTGTTATCAGTAAAAAATTCTTATTGTTGAATTGTTTTTTCTTTCTCTGCATGACAGCTGCCGACCAATCAAAAATTACCCAAGACCAAATGTCAGGAGCTGCAATGGCTATGCCCCTGGATCCCAAAGCAGCTTTCAAAGCTGAGTGGGAAGCCCTTGAGATCTGTGAGCATTCATGGACTTTAAGCAACATTGAAGCAGAACTGCTGGAAAGTGCTGATTTTAAATTTGAAACAGCGGAGGAACAGAATCATATGTGAGAAAACATAACCTTTGTTTTTATTTCAAAGCCTCTTGTTGACATAATTTATTTCATGAAGACTTGAAACATTTGTTTTACTTTCTGCATTTTTAATATTCAAGCCACGATCTTGAAATCGCAAAAAAAATTGAAAAGTTGTAATAGAATTTATTGTTCGGAAGTCAAAGGGTCCAAGAGTCCAGGAATGAAAATTCCTTTTTCTTGGTCCTTATTGAAGTACGTTACTTTTAGATGTATAACATCGTACATTTTTGCATTTCCTAAAAAGATGGAAACTAATTCTTGTAGAATTGAAAAGTTTCCATCACTAAAAAAATTGAAATGTTCTAAATCAAATGAATGTGACATGAGAAGCGTTTTTTTTACATGTACTTGCAGCTCGAAAGAAAATCCTTAAGTATCATCATTAATAATGCAAAACTTAACACTGTCTATAATAGAGCACTTCTCAATTTTTGTTCTCCAGTATTCTGTTTTGATTTATGGTTAAGGTTTTTTAGAACATTTTGTAAAGTTTTTGTTGTACAAGTTTAAAATAATATGTTAATTAAGAAAACACAAAGTTTTTTTTTTCTTTTTTGGCTTACAGTAAAATTCATTTGCTGGCATACTGACAAGAGAGGAATTAGGTCAAGAACTGGCAATAGACATTTTAGTCGAAACTTTTTTATTGTAAGCAGGTTTTAGGCAGTCAATTTTTCCGTACAAAATGACAGTCAACTTCAATGACTGCTTATCACAGTAAAATAAATAATTTAGTTACAGTACTGACTAAAAGAGAAAATACTGTTGAGTATAATAACAATGATTGATTTGAAGTACGAAATCAATATTGCAATCATTGTTTCAGATCAAAATTACATTCATGAAGGAGGACTAGATAAAATTTCTGATTTTTCACAACCCACAAGAGATAAACTTCAATTGTCACAGTGTCTCTCAAAATTTGGCACATAATTCATTTGGGAAAAGAGGAGTGAAGCTTCATTTTTGTAATGTAAACTATTAAGAATAAAGTAAAAGTCAACTTATTATGTAGAGTAAAAAAGATCATCATAACAAACCTACTTAAGTAGTTACCGGTTTCAATTGATTAAAATTCAGGAAAGTGGGCATTGAAGAGCTTCGCATAGTGCTTTTGTGTTAGCATCAAGAAAGTGCACCTAAGATACATTGTTAAACCAAACAAGAATGGCTGCCATTGATGTCATCTCAACATTGCTGACCGATGCATCAGCATGACATCAAAAATAAAATGTTAACAATAATAAAGTACTAATTCAAAAGCTTTGCAAATGGCAAACATTTCTAACCTTCAGGGGTTGTTGAGTAATTTGTAGGGCAGCTACCTTGGCAATCTGGCAAATCCATAGGAGTTAAAAAACATTTTACTCATCACTTGATGGCTATCAGGTAATTTCTGTCTGGCATTGTTGGGTTTGACAACGCATCTTTAACAGCAATTAGGAGAGAAAAAAAAATTTCTGAGCTCTCAGAAAGAACATTTCTGCTTTTCGGTTCCCTATAAGGATTAATTCTTTTATAAATGTGTCTTTGAGGATGAATGCTCCTTAACTGTAGACTTAAAAATTGGCGAAACATTCAATTTCAGTCTTTTCAAATAAATGCACTATTGGCAATTGCAAACTTAGATTTTACAACTCTATGAAATTGATGCTTCATTTTCCGTTTGAATTCTGTGTACCAATTCAGTATTCTAATTCGCTGGTTCATTAAATCCTGCTGACTGATGTTTAATTGATCCCTAATTATATCCATGATGTTACTCCAATCATTGACGTACACTACCGGAGCATTATATTTTTTGAGCAACCTCAACGGGGAATCTTTGCCTCGGGAGCAGCTCCCTGGAGTCACAACGTTTTCTATAACAGGGGTGCTGCCAACAGACATCGCCTCGTAGATTCGATAGCATTCAGAATTCAAACCGACAGGATTGAGAGTATAGTCTGAGTTTTTCAAAGCATTTAAATAATTTTTAATTGATTCTGTAGATTCACCCTCTGTCCACCTGAAATCAAGAAATATTGGGATTGAAAAAAGCATTAGTTTATAAAGTTAAAAAATATAGATATTTCTCATGCAAGTTTGAAAGAACTAATTTAGAGAATGCATTCTCAATGATCTAAAGTACCTTGAAAAATTTCATAATTTTGGTTTTTTTTTCTTTTGGTAGCTAAGATTTGAGGCTGAGAGTTTTCGGGGAAAAAATAAAAAATTAATACAAATTAAATACTTACTTATCACGCCCTTTCAAATAAATGCTCCTGTTTAGAGGACTGCTCTGTAGGATGTCCATTAGAAACTTTCTTGAGGAATCTTCATAAACAGTTCCCATGAAATTACAAATGAATGGTCTCTTCAAGATGATGTCCACATCACTTGGGTTAACATTTGGAAATCCTCTGTAACTGAACAATGAAAACAAAATGTCATGGGTTATGGCTTAAAAAGTTATGCTAAATAATGAGTAAGGAGTCCTTTCCTAAGCAAAAAATCAATGTTCGTGCCAAGAACTTTTTTTTTCCTCTCCTTTTTTTCTTTTGTTTTTTACCAAGAAATAAGAACTTGCTTCATTGATTATTTTTTTCAAAAAATGGTTTGATTCTTGAGGCAAATTGATCTTAAGAATAGAATGTCAGAGTAAGAAATTGCCATCAGTGTTTTCTCGATGACACAGTTGACATGCTGTAGCATTCTAACCATGTTTCTTAATTTTGGATTGTCCAAAACTCTTGATAGGTACCCCTGCCAAATACCAATCAGTGTAGAGAGTGTGTTTAGCAAGCAGTGCCACATGGCTCACTTATCATATTGTGAACCTTCTTTCGGTTCCGCTGATCTTGAAAATTTCTTAACATAATGCAAGTGAGAACTAACACTTACTCAGCTACTCCAAGTGGCCATTGGAAAACATCTTGATTATTCACCAACGGGCTATCATAAACCAGGAACACAAACGTTACAGGCCCACCGTTTGATTCCAAGTACGGAAGAATCCAGTTATTGTCACAATTTTCATTACCCAATAGTACTACTCCCACTTTTTGAAGATTTTTAAAAACTGACAGGTAGTCTAGCCAAAGTTTTGAAGAGGCAACTTTTGATTCAGTCCGGCCGTTTAGAATTAAAATTAAACGTTCAATTTGTTTTGGAGCGGTGGTCTGAATGAGGCCAGGTCCAGCATAAAATTTATAGGAGACTCCATCAAAATCGAGACTTCCCATCTGCCACATCCGGTGCCGTATAAAGTAACTGCTTGCGTTTAAAACATGGTGCCAAACAAACTGGCCAATGTTCGCTTTTGATAAAATGAAAACTTCATTTTCATGAGCAGCTTCTGGATCCCTCCTCACAAGAAAGTCTGGTTGCTTCTTATGCCCATTTTGATAATCTGTAAGAGAATTATGAGATAAGAGAATCAATTTTCCACATCACACTGGGTTTGCGTTTAGCAAAAAGGAACCAAGCCACATCAGCTATGGCCAAATTTAACTGCGCAATTTAATTTTTTAAAAAAAAGAGAACGTTTGTACAATTCTTCCGAAAATTTTGATGACTTCGCTTTGTGATTTCCAGAAAACTCACTGAAATTTTTTAAAAAAAATTTTTAAGATCGTTTTCATGAAAACGTGAAATTGCCAAATTAAATTTGGCAATAGCGGATGTGGCTTGGTTCCTTTCTACTTGGCGCAGTCCACTTAATGTTTAAGAAAAATTTTCTTTGGAGCCTAACTTCTGGGCCTTCAAGTTGAAAGCAGATAAAATTAGGTAAGATCTATAGCATTTTAGAGATTGACACTCAAAGTGTGTTTGGGCAACGAGAAACATAGAATAATTTAGCACCATATCAATTTTGTAAAAATATCCGGTGCATACTTACTCCCTTACTTACTTCCTTCTTACTTCAATTTCAAGAATGCTGAACATGAACTGAATGAACATGACTGATTGACCTAAACATTGATGTTGAGAGTTTTTTTTTTTTTTTTGAAATCAGCATCTGATGTACAAAGTACTCACAGAATGTAGAGGCTATAATGACAACATTTGAAAAAAATGTGTATCAACAGGGGTGTTTCAAAATTTCCTTTTGTATTTCAAAGAATTACGAATGAAAGAGCCAAGCATCACTTGGCGAAAAATTACAAAGGAAGAGTCTGGTTACAATAAAAATTCTTTGATAGAATTCTGCAATCATAAATTTATTTGCTTCCATGAGTAAAGGTGGGACAAGAACTTAGTAGTCACAACCCAGGATCGCTGCCCAATATGAGTACTGGTTTTCCTCCGAGAAAAATTTGCTTGTTTGAAGGAATACTGGTTCAAAATCTGATACATTACCCATTAAATGTTTGACTAAGAGGACAGGGAAACACAGTGAATGACATGACAATTGATAACAAAAAGTAAAACCAAGAAGTAAATTAATACTAACTGTGTTTGCTTGAATTTAGGAACAAGCAAAGAGAAACTAGAAGTGAGATGATGCATAGGAAGTAGAGGTATAAGATGATTCTACAATTCATGGCTGATTTTTTAAACATTTAAATTCATCACTAGCGTTATTAGCTCATGAAACGCATTAGTTATTGGACATTAAATTTTATAAACATATTTAAAACAAGGTAAAAAAGATAAGAAAAAGTGTTATCAACACCAATTTCTGAAAACGTAAACAAATCGGACAATCGGCAAGTTTGCCGTACTTGTAATGACAAAAGCATCCTCAGTGTAATTTAGCACGGAGACCGAGAATTCCAAATAATTTCATCAAAATTCTCCCTCAACTTTGTTTCGCAATGATTCATAAAAAAAATTCTGGCTTTATTTTCACGGCACAAGGAGTTAAAAGGATTAAGAATGTTTCAATAAATATTGAATTAAATTTCAATTATGTTACCGGGATTCCAATGGGAATTTATGTTTTCTTTTTTAGACATAATTGAAAGTGGCTGCTGATTTCACTCGTGAGAACCAGTAAAATTTTGTTGTGGTGGTAAATTTAGTGTCTCTTCGAGGTAAGCCGTATTTCTTTTTATTTTATCACATTTCTTTCTTATTTTATGAAAATCCGGTACTGTCCCTTCAGCCCACTGCACTTTTAAGCTTCCTATCCATTAAGCAATTCGCTCCTTTGCGATATTAGCTCAGATTTCCTTGTGTTTCTATGGATCCGCGTCACTTAAAATGGCGGAGTTCCGCGTGTCCTACCTTCTTTTACCTAAAATTATCATGCCCGTCCGCAGTTAAGTTACACTTACTGATTGGTTCGTAACTATTCCCCTTCTCCTAAGGCCCTACTTCCTTCCATTGTGAAACTTTTGCATGATAGTCTCCGAGGGCGCATCATTGTACCCTCTCCTTTTGGTCGAGCCTCTCGCCCTGCGTAATCCTTTCTTTTCTGCCTTGCCTCTTGCTATTCCAGCCCCCATCACTTTAGCAAGTATATGTTTATACTATACTCTTCCAGTCTCTGAAGAGTATGTCTTGGACTGTCCTCTACCGGTATAATGGAGGATTTTACCATGTCCCTGTTGCGCATCACAGACTGATGCCAAAGTCCAGTCTAAGCAGTGATAGAATTTTTGATTTTTGTTCGACTCAAGGATACATACTAATTCTAGCACTGCTGTATCATTTCATGGAAGCTCTGTCTCAGTTTCCATAGCTTTAGAATTTGTAAGGTTAATCATAAAGGCAAGTTCTTTGTTGTATCGTGATGGCCCGCCCAGTCATCCGGCATGCTGAGTCATCTCAAGTCAGCTTTTTAGTGGTCGTAGCTCAATGTGAAGTGTAGCTGTGTTTGACAATGTTGGGAAATTACATTCATCAAATCAGGTGGATATATTTTAGTTTGAATATCTCCTCTCTACGAGTAATCCTGTTTTTGGTTTAGATCAAATATGACTTGACAGAAACAAAGTTTCTGAAAGTGATTCACAGATCAACTTGTAGGGTGGGCGCTATAGAATACTCACTAATGACTGATTTGGATCCTTCTTTTAAAGCCTATTGAGACCATCTTAGAGGACATGTTTCATCACTGCATATTAGGATTTGATCCATATTAAGTATCATATGTGAGAGATACTCATATCCAATTTCAGATGAATCACTGCTGGTTAGCAAGAGTTATTTGTTTTTTTCCCCAAGGTATGTATTTGAAGTATATTTTTGCATCTTGATCAAAATTTCTTCGGTTTCAAGTACTTGCCTCCAAAAATTTTCATTAAATTGGATTTTATTTTCCTCCTTTACAGGATAATTTACACTGCGTCATCATGAGTTACGGAAGACCTCCTCCTCGTATTGAGGGAATGGTCTCTCTCAAAGTGGACAATTTGACCTACCGCACAACTCCTGAAGATTTACGCAGAGTGTTCGAAAGATGTGGAGAAGTTGGTGACATCTACATACCTCGTGATAGATATTCTCGCGAAAGCAGAGGCTTTGCATTCGTCAGGTTGGTAGCTAGATACTTATCTGAAGTTCCCACCCAATATGAATTTTTCTCTCTTCTCAACTCAATTCAAGAGACAGAAGAGTAATTTCTCAGCAGTTCTACTATAATTTCATGATGAAACTTCCAATTGCACTCACTACAACACATTCCACACACACTTCCACATGCAATCTTAGTGATTTTACTGGTGGATTGTGCTGTATATTGTACTATTTGTAAAAATGGCACAAGTCGACATCTGCCAATTTTAGGATCAATGACTTCCTCAAATCCTCTGAAGTCTCTACAATGTGTTCATGTGCCGAATAGCAGCTTACACTGGCAGCGCCTCTGCTGAGATTGTGAATTTCTGCTAACTTACCGTATTCCCTCTACATAGTTTCAATAATCATTTTCATTCAACAGATTCTACGACAAAAGAGATGCTGAAGACGCACTCGATGCAATGGACGGAAGACTTTTGGATGGCAGGGAACTCCGTGTTCAAATGGCTCGCTATGGAAGACCATCATCTCCCTACAGACATCGCCGAGGAAGAAGGTAATTATCCTATGAAGGTTCCCCTTCTTGTTGCCTCCTTCCCCTTACATAGGAAACTTTGTAAGCCTACTTCTGGCTCGTTCATCACATTTTAAATCTGAAATCATTTCCTGATCAACTCCAAACTAGCACCTTTTAACAAAATGATGCATGCATTCAGAAGGCACCATTGAGAGGTGCTGATGCCAACAAAATATACGTCTGTATTTATCATCGTAAACCATTACCTGCCAAGCCTGAGTTTACTAACTGTAACAATTTAAGAAAGAAAGTTGCCTTAGTATACCACTGGATTTGTGATTTTCGTTTAAATCTCAATCCTGGAATTGGTTAGGGAAATAAAATGTAGCCGCAAATGATAATACTTGGATGTGGTCCCCAGGGGAATAGTGTTTCTGCTGTATACGTATTAGGTTGAGGTTATCCTGCTTTGGTATTCCAAATGTGGCAGGTAAAGGTATAGTCCACACCAAACGTAATATGTAAGAACCAGTAAACTGGCTAAGGCAAGTAACAGCCGTCCTTAGCTTGGCAACATTGTAATTAACAATTTAACTTCCAGTCTGTCCCAACATTTCTCATTTTTATAGCGATGTATTTAGAAACAGCATTTCAAGCTGCTTTAAGGCATTTTTGAAGGCACAATTGACTTGCAGTGCTGCTTCTAAATACTGCCCCAAGGTAGGGATGGTGATTTTTGAGATTAAATAATTTGCGGTAAATCAATTAGATTTTTTCTAAATGTACGATATGAATGGATAATTGGACCGCGCTAAACAGAAAGGAACCAAGCCACATCGGCTATTGCCAAATTTAATCGGGCAATTTAATTTTCTACATGAAAATGGTTGTGCGGATTTCTGTGCAAATTTCAGTGAATTCTCTCCATAATACGAAGCAAATTCCTTAAAATTTTCAAAGGAATCTGCGCAGACGTTCTCTCGTGACAAATGAAATCTCCCTGTTAAATTTGGCAATAGCTGATGTGGCATGGTTCCTTTCTGTTTAACGCGGTCTAATTGGAGGCAGAAAGCAATTTGAACAACAACCAACTTCTTTGATATTTGGACGTATTTCTGCCAAACGGAACTATGTGCATTAAGTCATGAGCTCTGAGACCCATAAGAACACATGCGTAACAAGGCTCTAGTCATAATGCACGTAGTTCCGTTTGGCAGAAATACGTCCATTTGAACTCAACTGGATGAAAAATCTCTAATGATTCATCAGTGCTGTTGGATTTGGATTTTCAGATTAACATTTGTATCCAAAAGAGGAAAAAATGTCATTTTAGTGTTTGCTTGCTGCTCTCAAAAATTGGCCTGTAAAATTGATGCATTTTCACGATCCATCTTAAGGAAAAAAAAGATGTCTCCAAATAATCCATTTGAAATCGCCAAGCCTACCGCCCCAGAGCCTCCATATTGAGAGAAAAGGGCTTGCTTTAAATTGAGGTCTGCTTGCAGGCGCCGTTCAAACTCCCGCTCCCGTTCTAGGTCCAGGTCCCGAGGCAGGAGATATTCTCGCTCTCACAGTGGCTCCAGATCCCGCTCGTCAGACAGCAAGAGTTCTCGCGGCAAATCTCGCTCTAAATCACCCAAGCACAGCCGCTCTCGCTCCCGCTCTCACTCCTAAATGGCGATTGTGAGTACCTTTTTTGCCTATTCTTCTTTTATTTCTATGTAATTTTTTTTCTTGGCCTTCCTCTTTTTCCGTTATCTCTTTCAGGATGGAAAACCTAGAAAACTCGGAAAATTTTTTAAATCCTACATAATTAGGGAATTTCACCATTTGTAGAGGAGACCGCAATTAAGTGATCTTTTTACAGGGTTGCCAGTCAAGGAATACCAGGAAACGTCAGGGTATTTTAAAGTCAGGAAAAATTGGTCCAGCGGAAAGTACAGAGTTCTCAACCTCAAGCTCGATTTCACATCATGGTCTTTTTGTTGGTTTTGTTTGCATGGTTTTATTGTTTTCAGGGGAAAGAATTCATCCATTTCTGTAGAGTCTGGGAGAAGGTACGGAACTTTCGGCACCCCTGGGTCCTGATAACTATACCACAGCTAATTTTCTTTTATTTTCCAAGAAATTAACACTCATTGTGAGAGATAACTTCAAGTTGTACCACAGCCTTTCATAAATGCACGCCTGATTTTCTTTTGTTCTCCAATAAATTATCACTCATTGCAAGAGAAGACGGAGAGGTTGTTAATCCCACATTGTTATCTTTTGCAGGATTGACTTTCATCGAACTGACTGTTGTGGAGATATCATGCACAGACCATGGCCAAAAACAGCTGCATTTGAACCTGCTTGAAGATGCTTTTTGTTTTCAGAGGTAGTTATTTTTACCCACCCATTCCCATTACTAAATGTATTTTTCCCCTTTTATTCTCTCCCACTTTGCCTCATCTTTCCTCATTTCCATTTCCCCATTTGTATTTTTAGCTCATAGTAAATCTACGACACAGGTCTTGTTGGTTGTTAAAACCATTCCGGACCGATCCCACTCCTCAACTCTTCTTCGGTTATGGCAATCCAAATTTTACCATCTCAGACAGTCATTTTCAACTTTCAGTTTTGAATTTTGCCTGAGAAGTTTCCAATTTTTGTCAAATTTTCTTCAGAAGTTGAATTTAATTGACTAGGTGTAAATAAGCAAATAATTTCATAGTTGGTTAGTTAAGGGCTTCTTTATTTTTCAATTTAAAAAAAACGTGCTCTGATAGTATTTATTTTCATCGAGTTTCACTCATCAAAGTTGCTCGAACGATTCCCATTTTGCAACACTTCCAAGAGTCACTCCCCACCTAGATTTTTTCTGTGTCTTGACACTTATTAGGCAGAGGCTTTCACTGGCTCATTTTCCAAGATAGGTAACATCAGTTCAAATCTTGGAAGAAGCTCGATAGGTTAAAAATCTTAGGTATTGAAATCTATTTCATTGCTCACTGATTAAATTGTTAGTAATTTCAATGCTAAATCATTCAACACAAGTGACATAGATCCGAGTCAAGTTGCTGATGTGCGTTGGGAGACTCATTTAAATTACTTTTACTTTCCTCTTGCTTTAAAACATATACCATTAGTTGATAGCCTGTCATGTTGGAAACCTATTACTTTTTCCCTGCTCTTAAGTTCTTGTAACTGATCGCCATCATTAGTGTGTAACATCAGAGCGTTTCAATGGCTAAGCAAAGCTGCCATTGTTAGCTAGGAACTTCGGATAGAAAAGATGTGATATTATGTCTGAACTAATATCGTAAACTTCCAAGGCTTTGTGAATTATTTTTTCTCTTCAATCTTTGAGTTGGAGGGTAATTTCTTACATGAAGTAGTTTTTTCTTCTCCTTTTTGTTCTTTGACAGACGCCTAATTTTCTCTTGGGGTTAGTTTCCCATCAGGCATGATTGCAAATTAAGTCCTGTGAGAGTTCAGGAAACTTTCGCAGAAGAATTTATCTTTTTTTATAAGGACTAAATCATACATGAAACCTTATCTCTAAATGAGGAGCTGACAAATTACTTATTTTATCAGAAGTACTATGTATGCAACAAAAGCAAACAGATATGACTAAAGCTATAACAACATATACGCCAACGGAGGATATTTTTGTAAAATATTCTGGCCAAATTTGACAGCTGAAATGAAGATAAAAAAGTCGTGATTGTGAAGACAAAACTCTCTTATTTATTTAAATTTGTGACCGAGCTTCCTTTGCAGTGGAAGTGAGAAAAGCATCAACAGAAAGATGTGTGGATTTTTAGTGTGTATGATTTAACATCTTTAAATATATCAGTATAAAAATAATTAATTTGTACCTTGACAATGACACACAAAAGTAAGCGTAGGAATGGGAAGAACAAGGCTCATTCTAAATCCAAATTTGATATCTGTCAATCAGTGTACATTTTAATGGAGGCTTGTTTCTACCATTCTCATGTTTCCATTTGTCCTTCAAGTATAAATGTTAACAGTTTTGGCTGTTGTCTCTGCGTGTCAACAAATGTGTACGTCAGCTTTTGTCTTTTCCATATTGCAAGCCGTTTGTTTGCACCACTTATGTTAGTTTAGCGATTTCAGTTTAAAATGTATAATTTCATCATTTTGTTTCAAGTGTGTTTCCCTAAAGTTTAATTTTAATTTTTTATCTTCAATCATTTATTATCGTTTATTTCTGGTAGCAATTTTTCAGTAATATTGGTTGCCGACCTCAGTTATTGTATATTTTGTGCGTCTATGAGTGTATGTCCAATACAACTTTCCATTATCTTCAGATACGAGAGTTTTTCCTGTATATTTTCATTTAAGTAACATCCATCACTTTATAAATCATTCACTCTGAATTGTTTTTTTGGCAGAAGCTCGGCTTTGCTGTAAGTTTTCTCTCTTCTGATGTATATTAACCTGAAGGAGGTATTACACATCCCCCTTCATCCATCATATCATTTTCAAGAAAAGATTTGACTTAAATTCCATCTCCCTGTGTGGTTGTAGTATGAAGAGAGGGAGGAAAATAGGCAACCCAAAAATTTCTGAACAAAGGAATCTCTATTTTTAATTATATATTGAAACCAGTAACTGTGCTATCTGATAACTTATGCGTCTCCTCTTATTTTAAGTTTCATTTCAACATTAGTATTGGAATTGTAATTTTAATGTGAAAACAAGACAAGTTGTGCAATTTTGTCCCAATTTCGACCCGCTTCAGACATTGAAACCATTCTGAAATGGAATTTTAACTTCTCCAACAGGATGACAAGTTCTTGAAAAAACATTGAAAACCTGGAAAAGTTGGAGAATTTGACTCCAGAACCTTCAAATTCTTTTTCTGGCCAAGACATTATGTTATTTTCTACTGCATCCATGACTTAGCATAGGCAAAAAAACACCGTCAAGAATAAGTAGTTTTGCCCCCTAGTTCTCAAATTAGAATTTCTCGAATTTCAAAAGACTTTGTGCCTTTTGTGAAAAGTATTTTCATCAAAAATTATGCCGATAGAAACATTGAAAAGTCAGGAAATTTTGGAACCCTAAAAACTTGTCGCCCTGTCAAATCTTCAATATACCACTCAAATGGTTTTTGCATGAGCTCAGAAAGGGTTTTAGTAGCACTATAATTTTTTGAGATTTCTCCCAAGACATCCTCAAAAAGTTCAGGACTATAGGGTACATCAGATCAGTAACTCAATTCAAACTTGAGTTGAATCTAGTTAGTTTTTGTGTAGGAAGAGCTAATTGAGTGTTAAAATCTAGCATGAATATGTAGACTACATGTCAGCATTTTTATGAGCATAACATAAACTATTCTCACTTTAAGGATGACAAGCCCTTTCAGTTACTCATCTTCCAAGTTGATTTGCCCAGAAACTAATGCATTTTTTAATGTTGCACCCAGGCAGCCTGTGCAAAGCTGTTTTGCTGTGCGGTGTTTGCGGTTAATGGTGTTTGGGGTAGCTGTTTGCTGGTTGGTGGCTGATGAAACCAGGCAGCAGGGTCGAGATCGAGAGTTCCTGAGAACGAGATTCGAGTAGTAGCAGAGTTCGAGTAACTTCTAGCTGAGACGTTTAACATTGACTGTTGGCAGTCGGAGACTGTTGGAAAAAATTAATTAGTCGGAGAAAACTATGCACGGAATTAATCTAATCAAGTGAAGTGCAGGAGAAACTTTTCGTTCCTTAAGATGAAGCAAACAGCTTCTAGTCGCCCGTGCCCTCCATCAGTACATTCACCCACTTCGCGTTGTTTACATTAGAATGCACATCTCGACTGACATAAATTTTTTAATGCCACCCGCAATTCACAAGTGTTTCCGCGGTTCTTTTTATACCTCTATTTCTACTTATCTTTAAATTTGAAAATTCTCATGATGCCAGCCAATTTTCAGCGCAGATTTTATGTTCATAAATTTTACTGAGTCATAGCGTCAATCTAATAATCCAAGACTCTAGTCAATTAATTTTAAAAAATTTTGTCGTATTTAAGGTATGCCCGTGCATACTAATCATTTCTCTGTGATAAAACGGAACCATTACTGTTCATGTGCGGAAGAGTTATGCTTTGCTTTGCCTTGCCGTTGGGTTGGTAACTGAAGTTTGTGGTACCTCGCAATGGTTGTGGCTTTCAACTTGCCTTTTTTTTAAAACAAAATCTTTGCCTAAATTATATCATAGATCAATCAGAAATCTTGAAGTTTTTGACAGCAGTACTATCCTAGCTAAAGAGGAGGAGTTGACTCAAAAAAGTTTGACTGATTTCTGGTCTCAGCTTCGTTGATGAAAACTCAGTTCATCTCGATAAATTCAACAGAAAAGGGGGGTGGGACTTCATTTGAGAGTCTGAGGCAAAGTGACATGTCCTAACCAGTTTTCCTTTTCAGTTTCTTACAATTTTTAAATAAAATTTTATCCATCAGAACATAGCTTCTTTTCTGTTTAGCTGCACCTCTCTTCCATGAAAGCTTCAAGGAGTAAGCCACCTTATCCAAAATTTCTTTTATGCACAGAATAATCTTGTTAGAACAAAATTCGATTTTGTTCATTATATGCCAGAATCATTTCGCAGAATGGCTCAACAGTGCTTGCAAAATGACTTTTCTCAGAGGAAAAACACGATTGCATTTTAATTTTTATTTTCTTGCGCTTCAATTCCAAATACTTCATTCTTATGTAATGCACCAGATAAAGGTTATTTTATTTACCAGATAAGTTTAAACCTGAAAAGGCCCGTGATTAACAATTTTAATATTGCATTGACCTCAGCTGGCTTTGAATCAATGCCCTGGCAATCTCTAGCACCTCTGCATTCTTTGTTGTTGAAACTGAAACTTTCCCTGATAGCAATCACATCACTGGCAGATGAAACAGCTACATTTGCAATTGCAAGAAAAATTCTGCGCCTGAGTTGGTAATGATGAGCTTGCACAATAAATGTACAGGTTTTGGGAAAGTGTGGCTCTGGCCTATCAGCAAGCAATCTCAGACGTCTTTTACATAACTAATTTCACAGTTAGACTAATCCCAGCGAATTCAGTCCAACTAAATATTTTTTTGGCTGAATTTCCCTGAGGTATTTTTTTTTAAGAGAAAACCATGCAACACTGAAACTTAAATTGTGAGGATAATTTTCCTAGTTCAGGGTAAACTCATAGAAGATCCAAAGGCGTGAATTTACTTTGTTTTCTGTCATAAGGTGGAAAACATAATAACTAAGTGACAATTGAAAATTGAGAGATAGGCCCTCATTCACATCCTCAATTTTTTCAGTAGATTTTGGTGAAGCTTGTGCAGCTATGTGCAAATATTTTGTCCATCTTTCCAGGTATCTCACCTGAAATATTTTTGAAATTGCTAAATTAAATCCAAATGATCAGGGCTAATTAATCTTCCAGATGCTTTATTATTGAGAGAGTTCTTACAGGAAATCAGAACAACTGATAGAAAAGGTCATAAATCTTTGCGGGTGGTGACAAAAGCCCATAGCTCACTGGAAGCTCATTAACCGATTAGTTCAATGATTTATTTTACATCCTGAAATTATCTCTCTCCAATTCATTTCTCATTAGTCAGTGAAACCGCAGAACAGCTATTATAGTTCGTTTTTTTGTGAGTGATTTTTACCTATATTCCTTTCCAATAAGAATGAATCAGACCTGACTGGGCTCAATTGAAAACATGAAAAAGGATGTGTCAACAAAAAATCGACTCCTAAAGTTCAAGAAAGATGCATAACACCATTATATTTGAAATCTTCGATTGTGTAATTTTCTTTTTCAAAGAAAATTAATCAGAATATCTCCTTTAAATTTTCCAATGAGTGAAGAAAATTCATAAATGGGTTGCAGGCAGGACTTTGTTTAGTTCTGATCCTCATTTAGGATATGTAGGTATGCTGAGTTAAGGCAGTTTTCCAAAATTTCTGTTTTGAGGTGAGCAAGTTTCTTGTTATGACTAAACCTGCCACAAAATGAACAGAAGGGATCATATCTGTGGACTCCAAGCATTTCCACTGTTCCTGACATTGGGAAATTCTTGTAGCACTTTCTAGCTAGGTAATATGTGTGTCACACTGATAGACTGAACTATCAGAGAGCAAAACTTCTTAATTTCAGCTGATAGTGCTCGTCAAGAGGAGAAATTACAATTGCTGAGGAGGTAAGTGATGTTAGCTCCCCCTTTTTACTTCAGTGGAAGTTAGTTATCAATTTCAAAGAAATGTGAACTGACCAACTCGAGTGAATCAACAATAGCAGCTGATTTTTCCTGTCACTGCAGAGAAATCTTAGAATGATCAGTCAATATCCAGTGAAGACTTCTACATATATTCCGGCATCTTGCATAGCGATGGTGAAACTACCAGACCATGTATCTCGGTTTACAATGCTGTAGACTTCCTTCCATACTTCATTAAAGCACTCAACATCAATTCCCTCTCCGTGTTAAGAAAACTCGGTGGAAACTTCAAGGAGCGAAATTGATCTGTTCTCCTTCAAAAGATTAAGATGGGAGCGGAGGTTTTTAAACACTGCGAACAAGATATACGGTTTGGTAGTTACACTGATGATGGGTCTTCTTGGACAGGTCTCAATTTGATGACCTACAGTAGAACCAGCCTAATTTCAACTGACATTGCCTAATTTTCTCCGACATCTTATTTATAAATCAGAGAACTGAGCAACTTCGAGACGTGAAATTTTATTTGCCTATTCCTCATTATCTTTGTTAAATTCACAGAGAGCTCAAGAAGTTTAGTTCTGTGTTGAGAAATAAAATGCAGAAAATAAGGCATCAGGAGAAATTTTACAGAACATGCTGCCAACAGAGAAAGAAATTTTCAAGAAATTACGTTGAAAAGTTTTTCTTAAAAAACACTTAAATGTCCAAGAGGTCTTCAACGTCACGAGAAGAGACAAGTGGTTTCGCATTATGGCCATCCCTATGGAAGTAGAAGGAAACCCACCACGGTATTAGGGATGATCCATAAGCCAGATGAGCAGCAATTTATGAATTGCCTCACACGATCTTCCTAGCGGCATATTTTTTCTAGGCAAGCGCATGGGCAACACGATTTGAGTCTGTTAGCGCAGATGAGTTTATTGGACAGTACGATTTCAAGATTAAAGTACCTGTCTTATATATCAGCGTTCTTTTTGCCTTGCGTTATGAAGATTGAGAATAGATTGAGAGATTACCGGCATCGGTTCGGCCAGGCCGGACGTCGGTGATTTTACTCTCCGCATTAATAACGAGCCGTACTTAACCCGCAGATGAAACCGATATTGCATGTTGAACTCGCCCAAAATGAGGCGGTCATCTTTATCCCCCTCTATCAACGTGTCAAATGCGAAATTAATGCGTGTTCCCCCTCATTGATGTCGCAACAGCGATAAGGGGTGATTAATTTGCATTTACAGTATGTTGCCTCCATTTATCATTCGACCAATCAGCTGCCGCGCCAACCGGAAGCTGTGATTGTATCAAGTATTCAACTGTTGAGACTCTTTACTGACCAGAATTCTACTAAGATTTCGTAAAACTATTACTTTAAGGGAAAAAAAGTCATAATAAATGGACAAGGCCACCTTTGAAGTGTTTTTTTAAAATATTATGGGGCTGAAAAAAGCACAAATATGCTTTTGATTATTTACTTGAAAGGTGTGTCACATTTGCGACTGTTGGTAACAATGAACCTGTCAACGGTTGTTTCAAATTTTCAATCTGTGTTGTTTTTGTGTGGGATGTGGGGGTGGATTTCAATTTTTAAAATGCGGTTTTTACTTTGTGAAAGTAATATGAATGTTTATTCCTTTTACCGCGTTTCTACAAGATGCTAAATATTGTTTTTTGTCCTCAAGTAATTTCTCATTAGCCCTAGATAATGGCTGACGATAGTGATATGCTGAACTGCAGTGATTCACTACTAACCAACAAACTGCTTCAAGAGGACCCGGATCAATTTTATACTCTTGTTCGAATGCATTTGTCTTTTGTACTGGATCTTAACACAGACGAGTAAGAATTTATGGTTTCAATAAGCTATTAACACTTATCTTTGGAAAATTTCTTTCCTTTAGCCTATCACTCAGAGACCCATGTTGATCAAACTCACAAGACGCGAGCAGAGGTCTCCTCTGAACGCAAGTATAACACAATTCCAACAAGTATTCCGTGTATATATCTCGTGGAGATGCTATCTCCTAGATCTAGTGTCTATGCAGAAAAATGAAATTAGAATGCTTATTCTTGTAGAATGATCCGTAACAGTCTCTAGAAATTATCCTTTCATGTTGTTCATAAAAACTCGTTGAGATCAAGCCCCAGACAAACAAGAGTGATATTCTCACAGTCTTGTCTGAGTTTGCGTGCAGGGTGGGGTAATTCTGGCATGTTAAAATTAGTTGGAAAATGAAACATCCCAGGATATTTGTGAAAGTTACTTAAGTGGCTAATATCATTTATAAAATAAGGAAGAATGGCAAGCTGTTGAAGAATGATCCATGTCATTTAAACATGTATTTCAAGGTTATTCAATAATGCATCAAAGAGAACACAATAATCCAGCATTCAAATAGATCTGCCTGTTAATGTAAAATGCTACTGGCTGATATCATTGCAATCTATGAAGGTCTGCCCCAGGAGAGCTTTAAACCGAACTGTTTCCTAACATAATCCAGAGACTTTAGAATTGAATTTGCAGTCTCTTTGGCTGATCGTTGATTTTGATTTTCAGAACTAGTTTGATGAAGCACTTTTTCCCCATTAGAGCCTCACTGAACAACCCCGAAATATTTAAGTACTCTATAAAATCTGATGGTTATTTTTAATTCACATTATGATCTTTTTAGATTTATTCCAAACAAAGCGTTTTTCATTCATTAATGTCATCAAATTTTTCCTCTATTAATTTTTTCATTAACTTCAATCTTCTTCTTTTCCAGCTGTGATGGTCCTAATGAAAAGACAAAATTCAAACCACTAAAATGGAATTTTCTCTCCAAAAAACCCAAAGGTTCACTCAAAGGAGTGATCGAAAAAGTTACCTTAACCGAGGCAGGAATGACGCAAATTGCTCAGCTAATAGAATTTTTAAGTAAAATGGAAAGTGAGTATATCTCTTAATTAATTTTTAGCTGATCCAATCCAAGATTGAAATTTTCCTTTAGGTATTATCCTTCAGGATTACTCGCCAAAATCACTGAGGATTAGTTAGTCAGTATACAATTTACTAATTAAAGAAACTGGTTTATTTTTTCCATCTAATTTTCTTAAAGGAAACTATGCCTTAACAAAAAGCTCCTTGGAGAAAAAAAAGCAAAAACATTTTAACTTAATGTATCATTTGGGATATTATATTATTCAGTAAGGCTTATCTAAACTACCTCTTTGCAGTTGAATCAACACTTTTACAAATTAATCACAATCTATAAAAAGAAAATCTTAAAATCCTTTGATTGATCTGAAAATGTGAACCACTAAATCTTAATTTGAAATTCACAGATTTAATGCATCCCTTTTTCAAAATTTTCAGTTCCGCCCTATATTTTGAGGTAACATTTACAGACACTTTTACTCTGAAATTATCCAGAAATATTTTCAAAAGGGCCAAGAAGAATTACCCACTCAAAATTCTGTGCATCATCAATGATCCAATTGATCAGTCATCCCTCAGGAAAGAAAGATGTAAAGTGAGATCCGTTGTATTGTAACTCAAGCAATGTGGTTTCTGAATTTCTTTGTCTGTATCTGTATCAAAATCGTGTAGTTCTGACATATATGTTCAAATTTTGACTTATATTTTTTCCCTTGTGCTGAAATGAGCATTTAATAACGTGATCAGACCATTGAATTTTATGTCAGAACAACAAGACATCAAAATGCAGCATTATTGCCTGGTTAAGATAAGGCTCTGTCTTGTCTTTTTGTATTAACATAAATGCAATGAGCGTCCTGCTGAAAGACACAGACATAGATTGCTATCCAGACGAAAGGTTGATTCTATTTTGACTTTTTCCCATACTCTATAGTTTCTCTGTTTGTTACAGATATTAGTCAAGAAGGTATTTTTAGATTAACTGGTGCTTTATCCAGGCAGAACAAATTGAAATCATTGATCAGTCAAGGTTTGCCCCTGAATCTTGAAGATGGGCAGTTCTCCGTTCACGATTGTGCCTCAGTTTTGAAAAATTTCCTATCCGAATTGCCAGAACCGTTACTCTCGGACACCTACTATCCAGCATATATACAAATTTCTGGTATGATATTTCAATTGTACTTTAGTTTATGTAAAACCCCTCTCAAGAATGTGAGACCACAAAAAACTGCCGGCATAAGCGGTTTTGAAAAAACATGTTACAAACTAAGCCAATTGCTTGTAAGGAGACGACTCCAGACTTTTTTGGTGTGCTCAACGTCATTTTTGAGTAAATTTATCTCCAGAAGTTGGTTGGTTGGTTGTATCTCTTGTGTGCAACAGACCCATTGAGCTGTTTCATAGATAACTCTCAGCAGAGGGAAATACTTCTCTTAATGAGGGCCAAGGGAGTGTCTCTTTATGTCATAGTGAGAGCAAACTTGATCCAAGAGATAAGTATTAATTTTGTTTATTTTGCTTTCAGAGCTTTGTACTCTAGGAGACTCTGCTAAGAACCGACTCCTCAGGTCCTTGCAACTGCTCTTAATGCTTTTGCCTGCTCGTAATAGAGCTTTTTTCAAGGATATTATCAAACTGTTAAATTTGACTGCAAGTCATGAGAAGACGAACAAAATGTCACCTGAGAATCTCGCGACACTCTTCACACCACACTTGCTATGTCCTCGCAAGGTGAGTAGTAGTTATCAGGTCTTCCTCATTCATTTTTTTGTTCTCATTTTTATGTACATTGTGTGATTTAGTATTAGTGACTTCTTCTAGAGGTCCAATTCCAGGGTTTCCGCAGTTAGGGAATTCTGGGAAAACTGGAAAATAATGTTCATCATTGGCTTAAAGCCAAAAAATTAGGTCATTCTAATGAGTAGAAGCCGAGATATTCGCAATTGAACATGGGCCATTTTATGTACGACAGAGACACATGAGCACTCCTCGTCGCCTTTCCTTGTGCTTGAACACTTCAGACTTAAGATGGGAAACTGCCTCACTCCTCCAAGTAGCTGCTTGGGCCAGCTCGGGCAGTGTGATATGGAGTCTTCTATCTGTCGCGTCTCGCACCTCTCCTCCAAAATGACTAAAGAGTTGCTGATATTGAATCAGCAGACGCGAGGAGAAGGAGGGCGTACGACCTCTGCACCAGCTGAACGTACAAGCACCTAATTGTGTGTGAGATCTTATCGAAAACGCCAAACAATCAGAGGAGAGGGGATTTATAAGTCTTCCGTCATGCTGCGATATGATTGAAAATAGTCGGGGTTCAATTGCGAATTTCTCGGCTTCCACTCGTTAGAATGAGCTAGTTTTTTTGGCTTTGTGCTAATGATGATTTTTATGTCAATCTATTTAAGTTTTATCAAAATCTAACGAGAACCACTGAGCCTCCTGTTCTGTGCAAGGCTCTTTTGATTTGTATGGTATCAGCGTGTGCTTTTACAATCAATTTACTGAATCAGTTCCTCCTGTAGCTTTTAGAATTAAAAGGAAATCATACTTTGCATTTTCTTTTAATTAATGTTCTATGTTTTATACAGTTAACGCCTGAGGCTCTGCACATGAATGCTCAGAAGCTATCAAAAGTACTCGTGTTCATGATTCAAGCTGGCTTGGATTTATTTGAAGTGCCTCCAACGCTAGCCACTGACATCCGTGCCTACTGGGCAGACAAAAATAGAAAAATTTTGTCTGAGAAAACAGGGGTGAGAACTTTCATTATTCTATTTAGTTGGGACTCTAATTTTTTTAAAAATATGTTTAAAGACTTTGATTTACAGGTATTTTTGCCAAGACAGAGGATTTCTCTTCTGTAAAACGAATGTACTAAAAAGGGTGTATGCCGGAAATGCAGAGAGTTTCAGAATGTCAATTGTCTGCCGTGATCCTGCGTTTTTGCCTCAAAATCGTATCTCTGATTTTCCTCATGATTGCTGTTGTGCTAAGGTAAAACGCCGTATGAACATTCAAGATTTGCCAAACTACCTCCAATAAATTGTTTATTTTTACGAGGAGTCATGAATATTTTCTCTTGAAATTTTCAGATAATTTAAATCTGATTGCGATCAAAATTGTCTGAAAAATTAGAGAATTTGGAATTTAAAAATTTCCCTGAAAGTTTGCGTTTTTTTGGCAACATCTGAAGGCTCATACTTACAGTTTCCTTGCCAAGCACGGCAGATTAAGTGTCTGATTCAATGATAAAATGCTTAATTTCACATTTAATTGTGGGTTTAGCCCCTTTGTTTCAATGTATCCAGCAAAACTAAAGTAAAAAAAGTCCTCATTTTTTAAAATTGCCTCACAGCCCAAGATTTGCTCTGCATTTCCAGCAATTGTCATCCTAGGATCTTAGATTGGGAATTTCTGCATCTTTGGTGCATGCTCAAGGATTAATTATAATTTTCAAGAGAAGATCAATCTTAATGAGTTAATTTGTTTATAATTGAGGACATTGCACCAAGAACAACCTATAACTGGAGACCGCGTTTTGAGAAAAACGCATTTAAAGTTTTGTTTTTTATGTACTGCGCAGACTTTTCTATGCAGGTACCCTGTTTTGGTGTTTTTGGGTGACCTAACCCTTCTACTGAAGGATGCCGGGTAGATTTTGCGATACATTTTGGGTTTACACTCTAATATAGTTAATTTAAAAAAGCGGTTTATAGGTCGTTATTACGTCCAACAGTCATTTTGGTGGCAATATGCAGTATAAATCATTTTAATCACGCATGATTAACGCAAAATAAAAGAATATCGATGGTGAGTATAGAGAGGGGTAACTAGCACATTATAGGCCTTTAAATTTGTAGGCCCGTATTACGCCCAACAGTCATTTTGGTGGCAAAATGCGAAGTATACATTTTTGGAGGAAAGGATAGTTTGAGAGGAGAATAAATTATTTCAATAGCTCGTTTTTCTGAAATAAAAACAAATCTTTATAAAATGAGATAAAAAAATCGAGCCATCACTATCGCCGCGCCGCGCCGATGCCCGCTAACCGAGAATGATAAGGCCGCGCGTATAGGTCGTTCTTGCACCCATCGATCCAGAGGCCTGACTTGCCTCGGAAAAAAAAGGTTTTTCGACCTCGAGACGTTACCTATCTATATTCTATCGCTACCACAGCATAGTCTAGGGTACGTAGAATCCGAAAAGCAGATTGGCGTAATAACGACCTATAAGCCTATAGGTTGTTCTTGGTGCGGTGTCCTCAATTGAAAAACGAGCACAAATTCTTAAATGTAAAAGAATTAAAAGATGGTAAAAGGTATTCTAAATATCGACCTCCTCGATTATTAAAATTTAGGATTTAATAAAATCCTAGATCATATTGTCACCACCAATCCCTTTAAGAAAACTTAAATCAAAATCTGCTGAGAATCATTTGCTTTCAAATTGATTTTAAGCTGTCATACTGGGAATCAAATTGAATTTTAAGTGTGGAAATTTAAAAGCCATTAGCTGACCCATTTTGTTCTTGATCCTGAATTTTTTTCTTCTTTTTTTTTCTTAACTACTTATACCAAGCAATTGATGCCCTAAAGTAATTACCTGACATTGTCAGTCTTGCAGTGTATTCTCAAATTAGCTAACTGTAACAAAACTAAGTGTCATTTCTAAAATCTGTAATTATATACGTACACATTATGAACTCCTGATGTTCATAATCATCATTTATGAACCTGGCATCATTAAATACATAATCAAAATTTTTCAGGCTGAAATGGTAAGAGAAACTAGTGCAGTGAACACAGTTTTCAGCTTTGTTGATCGAGCAAGGACGGCTGAGGAAAACACGCTGAATCCGACGGAAGCAGCTTTAGCGCAACTGTACGCACATATTCAGTCACTGCCAGAATCCTCGAAAAAGCGCAGGCTAGTGAAACAATTCAACAAAGAAAACGGCCACGGGACACCACGACAGTTTTCTGGAGGAAAGAGTTCACAGAAGTCAAAAGGATTCGGAGACTCCATCAAGGTAAGCTCAGTCAAATGTCTCTCATTGTGTAATCTTTTGAGTATCATTACAGACATTTTAACTTAATCAAGGATTTTTTTGCAGAAAGGGCGTGCGAGTTATTAAGAAACACAGCAAAGACGCCCTGGAAGATTATTTAATAAAAAAAACAGAATCATCCTGAACCTGCCGAAGTTTAGTTTTCCTGTTCATAACATTTTTTTTTAATTGACCAAACCAAGTAGTAAAGGCATTTAATGTATTGCATGTTCCTGCATTTTGTACATGTCATGCACAGCATCCCTTGGATTTTCAGAAATCCTTCATAGAGCCTATTAAGAGTGCCTGGATATTATTTCGCTGGGATCTTTTTTAGTCAAATTCCTAGCAGTGTTAGCATATAATGCCCAGGTCAAGTTGACCCTTATCAATGACGATTTTTGAAATTATAAGTACTTAGTGTGTCTTTTTCATAGTGTCCTATAAAACAAACTATATTTTTTCTCTTTGCAGAAGCATATTTTAAATAAAAATGGAAAGCATATGGTTAAAATTGACTATGCGTCAAAAGCTGACAAAACATCGGAGGATATCTCAAGTAGTGAAGTAAGTTCAATCTTTCAACTCATTTTCGGTGATAATAATTCAATTTGTTCCTCTTACACTTGTGACTGCATGATGCGATGTTCTTTTCAGGAATTTAATAATTAAAACCTTAGCAATGTTGCACCGCGCGTGGCCGCAGAACTGTGACCGACAAATAAACTGTCAAAAAACCAAGATGTATAATTTATGTCCAGTTCAATTTTCAGAAGATAACACAAAAATTTCCATCTTCATTTCTTTGTCCAAGAATCAGTTGCACTTCTTCTAGAATATCTCATATGTATCATCCAGAATTTATTTGTTTGTTTATCTCTGGCACTTAATTTTTTTAATTTGAATTGTTTCGCTCTCATTTTCATCTTACTCAAGGATTCCAAATGAGTTTTGCTTTTGAGAGCCAAAATCATTTCTTCTAAATGAGATAGGTATATTTTTAACTTCTAGGATGAAAAGTAAACTGATTCTAGTTTCTAACAAATTTTTCTTGTGATTTTCCAGTGTCTTTCACCGAACTCTCCGCAACATTGTTTAAAGAGTCCATTACGGGAGAATGACTGTCAAAACAAGGAGAATGAATCGGATCAACCCATGAAACATTTAAGATTCAAGGAAGGTGCTATGGAAAAAATTATTGAAGTATCAAAGGAGAGGCAATCTTGCGAAAGAGATACTGAGGAAGTGAACTCTGATTTAACAATATCATCGATTGATAAGCAGACGGAGGACGAATATTTTTCCACTAAATCTGTCTACGCTACAACTAGTGCAAATGGTGCTTACTGCAGTTCTGAATTCCCAGAAAGGTCTCATGGCCACTTGCAATGTCCGGATGCGCTGAGGACACAATTCTTCTCACCGAGTGTGCGGCTTCATCGTAAAAGTGCTGCAAAAACTTTCAATTTTACGCCCTCCGGGTCATGCTATGCCCTCAGCAATAAATTTAACAATTACACGTCAACGCCTGCCTGTAGAACACCATCGCCATTAATCAACGACGACATGTCACCAATAACTTTATCAGCACAGAAGATGACTAAAGCTATGCAGGTCAGTTGTCTTCCTCTTTGTTTTCTTTGGCGAGTCCAATGGACTCTTAGGACTCTAAATTTAATTTTTGGACTCTCAATGGACTCTAAATTTAATTTTAAATTGAAATTTTTTTGAAAATCAGTTTAGTACTGCTTATAGAGCTGACATGTTCTCAACCCAAGGAATTAGCAAATAAACTAGGTTCAATAATAAGACAGTAAGGTGTTGTACAAGGATTAGCAGTTCGGTGTAAGAGAGAGCTTCAGAAACAGCACAAAACAGGTTTCTAATCCCACTGTTTAGCAAGTTTCTGCACATATTTTTATTTTCAGTTATTTTTGTCTATTGTAAAGTGTGTTCTTCTCATACTCTGATAAAAAAATGTAATTATCAATTAAGCTACTTTATCTTGCATATTTTTAGCAAGAGAACTGTTGCAAGATCGAGACATTGTCTTTAAAATGAAAGTATCTATGCTTAATTTCAGGGAAAAACGAGTTTCCAAGATTTCAAATGTTCAAAACTGCTTCTTTGATCGACAAATAGTCGACATTCTAAAAAAAACGTTTCTCATTTACCTGAAACTTGTGATGTAATTCAAGGCAGCAACCCATGGTTTCAAGCTCCTTGAATTCAATGCAACATATCGACTGTACAATTCAAATTACAAACAAACAATTTCATTTTTAAAAAAAATGGCTAGAATATTCACTTCAAACAATAACAATATTGCGAACATGGTCGAGATTCATAACTTCACAGCACTATTGAGACCAGAAAGTAAATAAAAAATCACAGGTGAAAGGATGTGCAGTAAAAAATTCTTCTCATGGTGTCATGAAATCTGTTGGTACAATTTTTTTTATTTAAAACTAAGTTGTATTTTTTGTGACTTTGAAAGTCTTTTTCTCAGCTAAATTACAATTAAATGATTAACGGGAAAATACAAGCATAAAAAAAATCTACCTTAGCCCCATTACACACTTAAAGTAAAGCCTACCTTTCAAAAATAACATTAGCAGAAATGGGTGAAATATCTTTTTTTGTTTTTCCAGGAAACAATGATGACTCCTCGCTGTAGAAAACCTGTAATAGCCATATCTGACTCCAATCTTAGTAACCTGACAGATCTTCCTTGGAGCCCCGGCCAAAATTCTGCAGAAAGCCTCAAGGGTGGCTCAAAGAAAGAAAAGAATGGAAGCAACCGGAACTCAGATACTTCCAACGACTCACAGAAACTCGGCTCTAATAGCGATACTAAAAAGGATGGTTTGTCTAACCCAGTAGATTTCAACGACTCACATCTACTCACTGATACGTTTTGTGATTATTTGTATAGCCGCAGTTTACTAACTGCAAGCCCTGTCGATCTCAGTTTTTCAAGTCGAACTGGAGATTTTGAACATTCCTCCTCTAACACACTGTCAATGTCCGACGGCGTATCTTTGATGGATGATGATGATAAATCTGTAATTTTCTCCGATGAGGAGAAACTAAGTAGCTCTTTACTCTATTTTCTTGATGGTAATGAACCTCCTTCTGATAGCTCATCTTTGAGCTCCCGAAAACGTTCAGCCAGTGACAGTGGACTATTTTCTCCCTCCGAGTGCCTGAAGAAAAGCCCACGCCATGCAGCTCCTAAGGCGAATTGTAAAAAAGAAACTTCTCTGTAACTGGCTGAGTTGTCAAAATTACTAACTTCCTTAAAAATACATCCCACCTTAAAATGGCTCAATCGAAAATGTGTCATAGAATAGTCTTATTTCGGTCTAAAAAAATGGACCCTATAGTTTTCAACCTTTGCTTTAGGACACCCTGTATAAGTATACGAGAAAATTTGCAATGTTGCTAATCGCGATGTGTTTTTCTATTATTATCATTGATACATTATTAAAAGAAAGGTGGAGTGCAAATATCACCTTACATTTTTAGGAGGAAGGAGCGGTTCAAGTATGTCTTAAAGTGCTCAACAAGGTGGGAGGCCGGCTAAAATCTAGCGTTAATGTATCTTATGGTCCAAATAAACATAAAATTCTGTGGTAATATTTTTGTTTAAAAATAAGTTTTGGGCAACATTTACTTAAAATTCACTCCAACAGTGACAAAATTTTGATTTGCATGACAGATCGAAGAACCTTTGAAAAGGTTAATGAGCAACATAAAAATGAAAATCGGAATCTTAGATTATCCTGCATCCTTCTAAAAAAAATTATGTTATGTTTTGTTTGATCCCTCCGCCTCTCCCCTTTCAAATTAGTGTTTTGTGATGAACTTTTTATGAGAAATTGCCACCTCAAATCGATTTTACATCTTGTTAGACTTTTGAAAATTGACGCTACGCACTCATTCTTGCAATACGCAACGCAGCCGAACTCCTGGGAAGTTTTGCTCTGCACGTTGCATCTAAGAGTCTGTACCTTTAATGCACCTTCACACATATGTACCGTGTATATCAGATACATACTTTGTTGTCAAAACCAACCCATCCCTCAAGTAGCTAGATTTTAGTTATGGAAAAAGTTGTGCCTCCTGTAAGTTGCCATGAAAGTCAACTCTGGTTGATAAAATCATTGGATTCATCAAATTCTTTCACCAAAAAATGTTGTTAACCTACATTGATTTTCTCGTTCTCAAAAAGACCCAAGCGCCAGGATGGATAATACAAAAAACAGTAGAAACAGTTGGACTGCATTTTGCAATTTGGAACTATAAATTCTGGCTCTTCTGGAAAAACTTTTATGTGTATAGGGAAACTAATGGCACATACGTTGTTTTTAAACCGGGCCACTATTTATAGTTTCAAATTGCAAAATGCAGTCCAGTTCAAATCGAGTCATTTTATATCTCAAAGCTTTAAAATATCGAAATTAATAACTAATTAATTACTGATTTAATAATCTATGATTTAAATCTAATCGATTAATATAGTTTCTACTATTTTTCTCATAGTATTATTTCTGAGGCTTAAGTCTTTTTCAGAATGACCGATTCAATTCAAATGTGTTTTTTTTTTTACTTTCTTTTCTCACTTTCTCACAATATTTCACCGAACCTCATATCAGTGCCTATAATTGTTGAAAAGAACTCCATTTTGCAATGAGGAACAACTGTTTCTAACTCATTGCATAGAAGCACATATCTGTATGTGGAAAATAATGATACGTTGTTTCTGCGATGAACCAGGAGTAGTAGTTCCACATTGCAAAATGAGCTCTTCATAGTTAAAGTGGTTAAAAGTAGACACTTATATGCAATGCTCAAAATCATGCCCAAAATTGGATTGGATTCAGCAAATGGGTACCAACGTGATTAGCATTTTCAAAATCGTGCAATTTCTCCTTTGATTTAAATATAAGAACTAAATATATGCACAGTATCTAATCAAACAGTAATAAAATGGGTATCGATATGGGCCGTTTTTGGGCCCACTCTTAAGTTCCCTAACTCTACAATTTTTTGCCCATTTAAGGTCTATATTTAGTGGAATGATCATGATCCAGTCATTTTCGATCTCTTTTCAGGTCAAATGCTGGCCATAACATGGGTCTGGAGGCCGATTTTTGCGATAAATGTGGATTTTTCGACATTCGACCGCGAACCCCTTTTTCGGCTGTTAGACTCATGTTTAGGCCAGTATTAGCCCTGATCAAGGACTGGAAATGACCAAACCATACCATGATGTATTCTGTTGTAGGTAAACCCTCAAATAGCAAAAGGAAAAAACCGTAGAGTTGAAATTCAGCTATGATGGGCCCAGGAATGGCTGCTCCGCTGCTATCTATACCCCTACTTTGCACAATTGTTTTCCTTTACAATTAACAATTTCTTACTAGGAAAAATAACTATTTCCTACTGTAGGCTTTTTATTAGATGAAGAAGCATGGTTTTTACAACAATTTAATCGTGTTGGTTTCCCTCTGTTAAATGCAATCCAATTTAAACAGCTGAACTTTTTCTTCCCTCTAAAGCGTACATTTAATCAATAAATGTTGATCTAAATATATCTTCGTATTTTGTGCTTGATGCTACTCGTACGTTCTTTGCTTACTGAGCTCACTCCAAGAAATAATTATACTGCATTGTTGAATCAGATGTCACTGAATCAAGTTTGCCATGTCGTGCGATAAAATTTGAATACTATTTTGCATTATTATAAATGAAGAAAAGTGCTGATTTTTCAGTTCAATCTATCATCAGTGCTCTGAATACATTTCTGTGTGTGAGCTCGTTCCCTATAGTGCATTCAAATAAGAACCATATGACGAACCGTACTTATAAGTGGAATGCATATGTTCTCAAATTTTCAGACTGATCCTTCATCCTCAGAGATGTAAGATCATCAGATTTTACGAATGATTCCTTGAAGCATTGTCAAAATATTATCTACGTTGCAAAAATGCAGTTTATGAATTTGTTTAGTTTCAAGCCTCTGTTGTTTTTTAATTATATATGCATATTATTGTCTAAATATTTATTTTGTGTATATTTTAAACATGTACACATTGTATGATAAAATATTTATTGCCTATTTTCATATATTTGATAATATATAAATGTATACATTTTCAAATATGTTGTTGTATTTTCAATGAAAATTCTATACATGGCCAGGTCTGTGAATTCCGGGAGAAAATTTATCTTAGCTTTTTGCAAATGCACAGAGGCTGAAAGTACGAAATGTTACTGACACATACAATTTTGACCATAAAAATAGGAGAAGGTATTAATTTTGAACTCTATACAAAGTCTGCTGTAATTTTTTAACGACCATTCCATTTAAACTCTACTCTAAAAAAATTATTGGAAAAGGGTTTTCCTCTCCTCTATGACCTTTAAGAATTTTTGAAAAGTATTTTCATCAGTCACGGTCACCAGGGAGCATTCTTTACTCGTCAGACTGAACAGCTCCAGATTCAGGATTTTTGGGCTCCACAATGCTTGACGCATTTCCTCAGGGGGGGGGGGGGGTGGTGGTGGTGTAAAGAATTTCTCCAGTAAAGGAAGGTCTGGAGGGCCTACCTGCTTAAAATTTAAAATTTTAACCCCTCTTTAATCATTTTTTCGCCCACAATGTGAGGAGGGAGAGTAGGCCTCCCTTCTATTTAAAAATCATCCCCACAACAAGCAGGCAGATCCTCGAGTAGAGCCCCCCCCCCCCCCCNCGTTCGGATACTTGCTACCCTACGTCTTTTTGAACCGACATTCGAACCTTTGTTTGTTTATGCTATGAGTGGTGCTTACTGGAAACTCCGCGTCCGGTGGTGCCAAGTGTAACGGGATTATTTTACCGCGCTAAGGAAAATATTGTGTTAACTTTCGAATGCCGCCAGAACTCTCCCGACAGTATACGAATTGTGCGATGGACTTGTGAATTTTTTCTTTTAATTTGTCAGGAAATTTTACTCACAATGCAGTGTCGCGTACCTGAAAATTTCAAAGAAAAATATTCCTACCTGATCTAGAAATTAAATATTTAACGGAAGGATATGCTGCAATTTGCGAATGCGCTGTCTTACCTACCGCGGTGAAAATATATGGGAAATCGCATATTTTGACGACTCTGGAGACCTCTGAAATGCAATCCCCGCGGTTTGTTTCTCGATGCCGCTTCGGCGCTGACGGCCAAGCACGTGGAGCCACGCTCACACATACGGCGCGCGACGCGAGATTAGCGACGCACAGTGGATCAAGTCATCAGGAGAGGTCGCACAAAATTTGGAATCTTCAAAAGCTTATAACTCAGTTTATAAACAATTTTGAGGTTCTAAAAGTGGTTCCACTGGTTTTCTCGTGAAATTATCTTACAGAGGCACCCCTTAAAATTTAAATTGTGACGAAATAAGCATCAAAATTTGCAGTTTTAGTCAAAAATTTCATGTCCGACCTCTCTAATTTACCCGATCCACTGTGCGACGCAACAAAGTCGCACGATCGAAAGTAATGATTTTACGGCGATTCGCGTCGCACACGCTTTTAACACAGAATATGTCAAAAACTATTACCTTTAGAGTTTTTCGATTATTTATTCAATAAACTGATCGAACGACTTTCGAACCGATCAATTAATCGATCGTTAGAAAATCCATCCATTGTTTAGTCAATTATTTATTACCGATTGATTGATTGCTGATTAAAAATTTCCCAGTTTCAGGTCAAATTTTAAAAAAAAAAAAAAAATACCAAAACCTCTTAAAATTTGAGTTCAAAGGCTGAAGGTGCTTGTAAATATTTTGTGGGCAAACGACATCCCGGGAGAAATTGCGAAAATAATTGTGTCAAACCTCGCTAAATTATCATCCAAAATGTGCAGCATGCACACTTGATTTTTGCCCGTTGACGCGCGTTGATTTCCCGTTTCGAAGTATCTCAGTAACTGGTGAACTTCGCTTCGATTCGATTATTAATCGATTACTCAATTTTCGATTCGATCAATCGACTAATCGAAAAACTACCCGCTGGCGACTTGGCGCAGTTACGTTCGCGTCGCGCGTCATTCGTGGAATCGTACCTTAACGGACGTGTACCCTGTACCCCTCCCGCCTCACATCGTGAGCCCCCTCCGTATAGATTTTTCACAGCTGCAGTGAGCAGTCTGCAGTGCATTTCTGTGTAACCGATTTCCATAGCCATGCAAACAAGGAACCTGTCTTGTGCCCTCGCTATGTCGCCCCCCTAAATTAATTCAGAATTCACTCTTCCCCACTTTTACTTCCGATTCTTTCAAATGTTCAAGGTGAGTGGCCCGATTTTTCCAAGACCTCAAGAGGCTGGATGATGGTCCGTTGATCATTAGTTTTTGCACACTGGATGGTTTTACTCATTCTAAGCTGCGATACATAATTTGTTGTTCACATTGACATTAATTATGATAACGCATTCTAAAGTCACTAAGTATTCCAGGTCCGTATAAGAGCCCGCAAGCGGTGCCGAAAAAGACCAGGTTTTAATTTGCACGCTATGTGGTAAATTTTGGCGAGTTCAAGTTAATTCTCAAAGAAAAATTACTTAAGCGTGAGCCTTTATTTGCGTAGACGCTCCTCTGCCCTTCCTATAATCCCTAAAAATTATTAAAGTTATTTTTTTTTTTTTTTTTTTTTTTTTTTTTTTTTATAAAAAAAAATAATAAAGTCGGAGAGGAAAAACACGAAAGGAATTACTTCATAAATAGATCATGTGCTCTCCCGTTAGTTTTATATTTTTTGAAAAAAAAAAAAAAATTAGTAAGAGACTGAGTTGGTACTTTGATTTTAAAATCTCAAAGTAGAATAAAACACACACATATAGGTACTCAATACATAGGGTATAATAATTCGACTGTATTTTGCAATAAGGAACTACTATTTCTGGCTCATAACATAAAAAAAACCTATCTGCATACGGAAACTGCAGGCAAAGTATGTTGTTTCTAAAATGAACCAGATATTGTAAATCCTGTTTGCAAAAATAATGCGGTCTAGTTTAGCATGCTAGTAGCATGTTCTCTTAGGGATGTGTCCCATTAAGTGGCTTTTTTGACCCCAACTTTTGGTCGAAAATTATACCTAATAGCTTATGATAATGTCGTGTATGCCCATATCGACTCTTCATCATCTACCCTGCAAGAATATGTCTTTGCTCGAGGTATTTGTTGAAGGTTTTGGCCTGAGTTACAGGCACAAATTGAAAAAGTTTTGTCGTCTCTTCGAAAAATTGCTCTTTTTCGGTTATAAAACTAATGGTTCCAGGGCCGGATTTACCTACTTGCCGCCCATGGGCCGCCTGTATTTTCCCGCCCCTTTCTCATTCGTTTTGAAACATCAATAAAACCATCTAGTGAACGTGCCGGAGGGAGAGGGGTGCATGAAACGCGTTTACTCGTGTTAGACACATTTTTTGCGAAAGCCCTGTCAACACTACTAGCAAAAGTTCACGGAACTTTGCGCGAAAGTTAAGTCCCGTAAACCTATCTCTTTGTGGACAAGGCCTTCCATTTATAAGCATTGAACCAAAAAATTAAGAAAGAACAAACATAAATATGGTTTAATAATTTTAACTTCGCCGCCGCGCCACGCTGACCGCCACCGCACTGTGTTTGACGCAATGCGTGAAGTATTCGTGCAGTCTCGTAGGCGCTATGCGTTTCACGCCGACCGCTGCTGACCGCACTGTGTCTAACGCAATGCGAGAAGTATTCATGCAATCTTGTAGGCGCTAATATGTGTTACATGCCGACCGCCGCGCCGAGTTTCATCTCAAGTCCTCGTCATCATTCCTCTCTGCGCTGAGCTCCGGGCCAAATTGCGTGTTTATAGTCTCTCTCTTAACTCGACTAATTAAAGATGCTGTCCCTTGTATCACCAAAAGCAACAGTATTAGAAATTACTACACTCTCAGAAAAGAGAGATTTTGTCCCCTTTTCTCATTGATAATTTGTTTTTCTGAATTCCATTTTTTTTATACCCACATTTAAAAAATTGCAAAATTTGCCGCCATGGGCCACGGCCTATGTGGCCACCCCCTTAATCCGGCCCTGAGTGATTCAGGTGTGAGCGCAAGCGACTGCTTACCGCACTTCATCTTTTGGAATTGTAATAAATACACTTGAAAAACACAGAAATATGAAAGTATGATACCTAAAGTCTCTTGCGCTGACGCACTTAAAAGTGAACTTTTGTCACTTTACAATCGTGTAAAATTTACGGGACTAATTCGTGTTTCGTCCATAGTGTCTTCGATGTAACATACATTTTAGAATGAATCGTATGTGCCCAAATGGACTCATGGTCATCGACTCAGAGAGAAATTTTACCAGCTCTGTACCTATCTGCCCGCTCTTTAATTTTTTTTTTTTTTTTGTTAAAATTGCTTGTTCGATTTTTCATGCATTTATTTTTTATCCATCTCGCGTGTATTTTCTCATTTGATCATTCGAAGGAATGCCTATAATCAAAGTTCATAATTTTTACATCATAGACGCAAAAGCGAGCTAAAACGCACGCAAATGAAATTATCGATAATTGTGAGCAAACTTCATCGGCACGAAAAGTGTACCTACGCAAACTTTATTCACCGGTTAAAACGAAGATTAGTATGGATAGTTTTTTTAAAAAAAAAATTAATCTGGAGGGATTTTCTTGCAGGTACGATTGGTGGGGTGGCTAAAAAATGTCATCTGGATCTGGAGTGAGGCGATATAGCTCCATGTGGCTGGAGCTGACCAGCCGCCTGACACCATGCTACGCCTTGGGAACGGCCATCGTCTGCGGGCACGTGGCTGCCCAACACAGCAGCCCCATCGCCATCGTCGCCCTTCCCATCTCTGCACACACGTGCCTCATAGCTTGTAAGTACACACTAACACTATTGCACAATTGCACTGTTGTGCTAAAAGGAAGCACGCGGTATGAGCCTTCTAGGCGTTGCTCATAGAGAAAGATAAGGAGGTGTTTGCATGTTGAGGATTGTTCACCCCGCGACGTAGGTCGGTACGACATGGCCAGCAAAATTCGGATTCCGAAGTATGAAAACCGGACCATAACGTCCGATTTTTTTGCTTAAATCAACTCATGACATAATTTCAAGCACTTTAGAATGACTTTTTTCTCTAAACCACACCATTTCCAAGTAAATCGATGATAAAAATCGTCCATACCGACCTACGTCTACGTCCTCGAAAAAATCCAAGATGCCCGAAATGCAAACACCTCCTGTTTTTCTCTATGAACGTTGATAAATCTCCTTTGAGAAATCACGAATTTTTGGAAACAATTATGAATATTATGACTCTGCTTGAGTTGAACAAACAGCGGCAAACACGGTACGGTCGGCGCGGAACGCATATTATTAGCGCCTACAAAACTGGGTGAATACTTCATGCATTGCGCGTTGCCTACGGTGCGCGCTTTAATCGTTGAAAATTCGTGATTTCTCGGTGTCGGACTGACCGCGCGCGTTGTACAACTATACATAACATTACACCCCGCATCTGCACTGTCGTACTAAGAAAGAACGCCGTGTCAGCCTTCAGATGTTGTCATAATGCTTTCAACAAAAAACGAATCCAATGGAAAAATTGTGAACAATTTTTTTTCAAATTTGGCAGATGATTTTGTTCGCAGTCTAATCGAACATATCTGAATGTTTCGAGGAAAAATATGCATAAAATTCCTTGAACGCACATGTTTTTTCCAGGGCAATTAGGCAACTTTCGAATGTTCTTACGGCGTTTTCCCTCAACACGGCAGACTATGCCTCTTGCAGTAGAAATTGTTGAGTTTATTTCATGGTATCTAGGACTGAGAAAAACTGGGATTTATCCGGAAACAGAGGTGAATCTAGCAATTTGGCAACACCGTCTATTTCCTCCACGTGTTTCCTATAATTATACACTGTATGACTTCTTCGACAGGTATGAATACCCCGAAAAAACCTCACCAGCTGAATTACTGGTTAGAGCTTCTCCATCGGGTGGCCTCCCTCAGTCTGGTCGCCCAGGCCCTGGGCACGACCATGTCCTACATGCGCTCCGACGTTTGGATTGGCAAGATCCTCAATACCAATCTTCCACTAGTGTATCCACCTTCAGCCTTAGCCACTCTATCACTCGCCATGCTATCTCTTCTCTACTCTCTGGGTCTTGAAGTAAGTCCACTTCACGAACTTATCCTCTATTCAATCAGCCATACAAAGAAATGCTGAAACGTTAACATTTGACCCGATTTCAGACGATCACAGTAGACCACTAGCCTTTGGCCAATGCCTTTCTAAGTAAGCATTCGGATAAACATGTTTCCTCTTCAAAATCATTGGTGGGCCTGGTGGGCNGGGGGGGGGGGGGGGGGGGGGTACGTCGCCTACCCCGGAGACCGAGCAAAGGAGGAGGAAAATGGGAAAAAATGCACGTATTTCTGTCAAACGTAACTAAGCGCCTGAACTAAGGAACTGATTTCCTTTTGAGGAATTTAGAATGCCGGGTAGCGCGTTCTGTCAAACGGAACTAAGCGCTATGGAAAAGCATTGCGAGTATAGGACGGAATGAGCCGGACGCCCGGTTCCGCCGCCAATCCAAGCCCCCCCCCCCCCCCTACCTTCCTCCTCCTATGGCGCTTAGTTCGGTTTGACAGAAATACGTCTAAATAAAGAAAGAAGAAAGAAGAAAACTTATATTTGGTAATTATTCATGACGTAATTGACTAAAACTACACATTAGATGCTTTAAAATTTCGAAAATTTTCTCGGGGAAGCCCCCCGCACCCCATTCCACCCCCGCGTTCGAAGTATCTGGATTCGCCTTTGTTCAAAATTTCACATTGAGCCCGATTTGCGCTATGAAAATCACTAAAATTAACTCATAATCTAAGATATTAAAGTTTGTATTTAGCGCCGGTTTTGACGGATTTGAATTTCCTGCTCACACCGAAAACAAGAGTCTGAGTGCATCAAATCGCACACTTAGTGGTTTTGACAGGCTTCTCACTAAGCAGTGTTCCTTCCGAACCCTTCGTCTCTTCAAAGTTTAGGGACAACACCCAACAGCTGAGCCCAAGCACCGAAACGGAGGTTGCCAACTTTGTATACCTTGGACTCTTGAAGACTGTTTCGGTTATGTTTCAAAGTGTGCGGTGGATTTCTCACTTAAAACTTAACTTTAAACTTCTTAAATTTTTATTCCAGAGATCGAGTATCATGCGATTGCTGATGGTAAAGTGTGTCATTTTGCTGACGGTTTGCTTAGCTTTCACAGCAGTTTTGGTACCAGATGTGACAAATTATAAAAATAATATTCCAAACCACGCAGCTCATGATTGGTCCGAGGTGAGTGCATTATCTTATAAGAGTAACGCACAGCGCATGTGGCACGGAGCGCTTTGTGGGGTTGGACCGCGCGAAGCGGTTACGTCGATAATGAAACTCTGATAACATGCATACCTTAGTTGCAGTTTCCAAATACTTTGAAACCGCCGGAAAAATGGCGTAGGTCAAGGTTGTTAAATATTTTGATATATCTTTTTTTCGGTTAAAAACGAGACCGTAATTATTTCGAAACGTCCCGGTTTTTTTATATCTTGTATTTTGTTGCAGCCTTTCCCCAGATTAAGTTGTTGCATATCTGTGCAAAAAAGAGTGTAAAAGAAGACTTAATGGTAGTAACAAGTTGAAAATCGCTGACTCTGCGAGTTGAACCAATCGCGCCGAACACAGTGCTGTCGTCACGGCGTGCATATTAGCGCCTACAAGACTGCATGAATACTTCCCGCATTGCACGTTCCCGACGCGCGACGGTGCGTACCGGTCAGCGCAGCGCGCCGTGCGGTGTTCGGTGCGCGCTTTTAATAATTTGTTGGAAATTTGTGATTTCTCGGTGCCAGACACCATTTTTGACCAATACACGCGCCGAATCTGCAGTCGATGGATCTTAGAAATTTTGCGACCCTGAATGATGCATTTTCCTATTGAGTGATTGCATTTAAATCAGTATTCGTCCATCTTTTTCTGATCGGCTACAGTTATAACGAGAATCTCTCTGTACCGAGGAAAGCGTCCGGTCCCTTGAGTTCTCGTTATAAAGAGATATTACTGTGCAACCAAGCCCAATACCCACAAGTCGCTTTTTTCCAAATCTCCCATGTTATCTTATATTTTTACCTATTTTATCAGGTAGTTAGAGTGGGTGCCATGCTGGTCTGTAGTCTAATAAGCACAGGCAGAGTGGCTAGTCACGTGGATACCATTGAGGGACGTTCTTCCGTCCATGCTGGGGCGATCCTATTGGCCATCGTCTCCTACACGCTCATCTGCATGTCCTTCTCCATGCTCATCAACATTGAGTAAGTTCTCCCGAATCAGACCATTTCCCGCAAACTAGGAGTCAGTTGTTTGTTACATCGTTAAACCTTAATAATCATACCATAGCTTTACCATAGCTTCAAATGCAGAAACATCGATAATCGATCATTCACGCCTTGCCACTGACTGGAATTACATAGGATTCTTAATTCGTTTTTTTTCGGAGGGGGGGGGGGGGTATTTTTTCTGCCTCTCAAGTCATTGAAGGTCATCAACAATCGAGCTTGACACCATTTTAAAATGCACTTCGACCTCCGTTCTGTTCAACTGGCAAGATGGATACAAATCAACGTGCTCCTGGGTCGAGAAATTGCCTACTCGTAAAAATTGAAGGCGTTCAGTCAAACGCGATGACGGTATGCTCTCGTTCTTAAGTATCGATTTTTGAGCATAATGATTTCATTGGAAGAGCAAATTCCACCGTTCTTGATGAATCTAAGTGTTGTTGAAGAGCGGTACTGAAAAAAACAAAAAACTGGGACAGAGTCAATGCTTTTTTTAATGTTTAAATAGGTAGATATGATTAATTCTGATGAAAATTTTCAGCTTGATATCAACTGATGATGTGGCAGTGGTAAAGATTTTCGCAATTCGTGGTGATCAGGGTCTGTTTCTCGTGGTGTACAGCCTTACCGTTTCCATTCTGACGCTGACCTTTTCGGAACTCATGTCGCCAGCCGTTCATAATGTCGTTGGCATCTCTTCGCAAAACTACATGCTCCCGGTGGTCTTGGCTAAGGAGGCCTCCTTTACTTCTACCCATGTATACGCAATTTTTTTCGTCGGTAAGGTACCTTTTTTCATCTCCAGGGGCCAAATAAAATAGCAAGATTGCGATTAAAAACATACGTATCTCTCACCGCAGTATATATAAAATTGTTCTCGGAGAATGCTTTCGTCCTCAACTCGCCCTCGGAGGACAATTTTGTCCTCGGAGGGCGATTTTTTTCACTAGGACTATTTTTTTTTTTTTTTTTGCAAAAATTTGGGGGTACCTTGCACCTGAGGCTTACTTGTCGTGCCCGCATGATTAAATTAAAATAGAACGGGTTCATCCAGAGATTATCTCCTATCGACAGTTGTCAAAAAATCACGAAAATAGGCCCGGTAGAACTTTAGAACGGCTGTGATAAAAATCGAAAATTTAGGGGTCAGAGAGATTGATAATGATGAAGATGAGGCGAGGATTTGAGGATTGTTGAGGTATAAATTAATATACTCAGTGGGAGGGGAAACAGGGAATATCTCAGGTAATCTGTACTTACTTATGTATCTACATTTCAGGTTGCCTAAGTGCCATTTTGTGCCTTATATGTTCAATGCAAGTGCTGATATGCTTAGTAAGCGGCACTTACCTGCTCAATCATGTAGTTTGCGTCATTGCGTCACTATGGAGAAGATATCAGCCGTCCATCAGTATTTCCTCTAATTGTGAGTATAGATTACCTACACGTCGTCTGTTTGTTCTTATCCTCCTTTTTCTTTCTCGGTTGATTTCTTTGCCAATTCTTCATAATTCTGTCCGAAAAATCAATCAATGTCCTACATATTATCTGTAATAAGACCTCGGTCTCACGAGGAAATAGGAGGGGTATCGATGATGACTGTTCTGGGCCCAAAATCGGCCTTCACGCCCATGATTAGGTCAGTATTAGACCCGAAAAGAGATCGAAAATGACCAGATCCTGATGCATTCCGTACAATATAGCCATTCAGTGATCAACAGATCGTAAAATTGGGGTAATTAAGCGTGAGCCCAAAAACGGCCCCTCCCAAGTAAATTTTTCAACGGAAATATAGCGCTTTATTTTGAAACTGAGTTGCGAATTTTCTACGATTTTTTGGCGATAAAATCACCAGGCACATCAAACATCTGACTATCCTTAGTTTTGTCTTAATTTTATCTCTATAAAATTGCGTTCAATAAAATCGAAAGTTTACCTCAATTTATCACGATTTTTTCATAAAATTTCTCTCGATAAAATCGCAATTTCTTATTCGATAATATCACAATAAATCGACGTCGATAAAATCGCGATACGTTCTCCGATCAAACCGCAACTTATCGCGATCACTGCTACTTGGGTTATCGATACTCCTCTTTTGGCGATTACGCTCAGAGACAAGAGACCCTTCACTGGTCTCTTGGCGACAGGTAGAAGCTTTTACCATCGGGAATCAACACTTCCTTACGGAAAATTATAAGGGAGCAACAGTCATCACTCTTTTTTCGGCTGATGACCTACCTACATGGTAGATAATGAACGTCATGAGTCAAAGAAGTTTCCCAAACTTTGGTTTGTTTGCAAAACGAAACTGCCAACACGTTGTTAACCACCAACCAAGTAGGAAGGTCAACAGTTGAATGTCCCGGAAGTAAAAGCTTCCACCATTGCCAATATACTAGTGGAGGGTCTCTTGTCTCTGGTTGCGCCCTTCTCCAAATAACTCGTTTATCTTCCTTTGACTTATGAGAGCGGATCATTGGTTGCGTCTGTCCAGATTGCAACGGCCGAGAGGCAGAGTACCGGCCGCTGAGGACGGAAGGCGACCCGGCACCCGGGAACAGTCTATCGTCACCGCCGGGTTCCCGGACGGAGCTGAGGGGGTTCCCGAGGGAGGAACCGGGGAGTCCAGGCGAGGATCAGGACCAACACCAGCTCATCAGCATCCACGCGGATTCGGCGACCGACGGGGACAGCCGCGGGTCCGTGACGTCACTCGGCTCCCAGACCCGGTTTCTCCGGGCCGGCCCCGCCTCGGACTTCCACCCCCACGACAGCAACGACTCCGGCCACAGCTCCGAGACGGACATCGACGCCGCCGTCGCCCAGTACAAAGAGATCCTCTTGGTAATTTCCCTACTTTTTTACACTTCTCTTTCATCGCAGGAAACTAGGGGTACGCCCCCGGGCCGCTACGCAGCACACCCCACTTTCCCACGGCGCGTTGCGCCTTTTATACGGAGAAAAAACTTCGTGCATGGGATTCGAAATTGAGGTCATGTGGATCTCTGAAGTTTTCGGATCACGCATCCGAAAATTTGAGGTTCAGCTGCCGAATTCGGGTCGGACATCTGAGTACTTCTGTATGTACCGGAGTACTTCAGATGTGTGACCCGAACCCTTCAGTATATATCGAAGTACTTCAGATGTGTAACCAGAACTTCGGCAGCTGGAACTCAAGCTGGATGCGTGATCCGAAAACTTCAGAGATCCATATGACCTCAACTTCGGGTCTCATGCACGAAGTTTTTTTCTCCGTGTATGACCTCGAGGTGTCTACTGGTCCGGGGAAGTCCGGAGTGGGCCTGTTGCAAACTTTTGCTGGAGCAAAAATATGCGGCGTATTTATCCGTACCTAAATGCCTCGAAAATCACGTTGAGCGCCCTGGCAAAGTTTGAAATGCACTCCTAACTTCACAATCTGCGTAGGAAATTTGCGTTCTTTTTTAGCTTCCCGCTTCAAAAACGAGATACTACGGCACAGGTGAGCATTCCGTCAGAGGAGTCGTTTTATTCAACCCTTACGCAATAGCAACATAGCCGACGCTTCAGCCCGCGCAAATCGCAATCGGGACCACGAGGTCAACCAATAAAGCAGATCTCTATTGACACAAAGAAATCGTGAATGTAAACATTTCTCACATTAAAACCCTTTGAAACTTTCTGAGTGTTGATAGCTAAACTGCTGGACCGCCTTCAATTACTTATATAGGCAAAACACACTACCCAGGAGTCAAAATATTTGTATTTTATGTTCTGATCATGCATTTCAGCCAAAAGGCGGTAGGCAGGTGGTAGGTAGGTACATTAAAAAAGAAATTCAAGTAAATGTTTGATTTTTGATGGTTGCGCTCTATTAGTGATTGGATGAGATTTGATTTTAATCAAACTTGTCGTCGCGGAACTTAGTTTATGAGCATTCACTTTTTTAATGTATACCGTTTACTTTGTATACAGTGGTTGAAACAAATAAAAAACGGAAGAAAATGAGTATCACCTAAAAGCCATAACACATTTATTAATGAATTGTTTACAGATAGAGTCTGCAACCAATTTTAGTTCAGCGCGGATTCCAACCTCAGAGACTTGGAAGAAAGCTGTTGCAAGCATTACCGGAATAATAGTGTGCACCGGAATTTTGGGTGCAAGCATACATTACTCGCTATTTTTTGTTTTCTTCATCTCGCTCCTTGGTAAGCATGTATAGAATAGAATATTATAAAATATTATAATAAAATATTTTTATCACTCGCATTTTTAAGGCAAAAATTACTAAGTAGATTCAGTTACAGTGTGTATACATTATACAAAGTCGAAAGAGTTACTCGTACATATAGAGAAAAATATTCTAATGGTCACTCGTCAGATATCCTTAATTCATTATAGGATTCCCCTTTTGTCCCTCTTCTTGCTTTCTTTTGAAAAGTTTTCTTGGTTTTTATAGAGTCCATCTGGAGATGTATTACCTATGCAAGATTGCGCACATGCTCATGCATGCATATACCTTAGATTCTTTCTTTTTTAAAAAAAAAAAAAAAAAAAAAAAAAAAAAAAAAAAAAAAAAACACCAATCCATGACCGAAACGAGTATCTTTCAATTTTCAAAATAATTGACCTCTCCCATTTTTTTAACAGCAGCATCTATTTTCGGCGGGCTTTTGGCATGCCAGCCTCAGCGACCACGCGTCGAAGGGGAGATATTGTGTCCGTTCTGGCTGTCCATAGCAAACATCATATCTTGTGGCATTTTGTTGTGTCAAATAATCGCAGATATCTTTTGGATCACCTCTATATGGCTACTAATAGGTAATTATGTTACTAAAAATTGTGATGACTTTATCTTTGCAATAAAAGTGCTCGATCTCTGCAATTTATTCACATAAGTTTTTTTTTTTTTTAATTTAGAAGCCAACTGGACTGCATTTTACATCAACAAACCACTACCTCTGGTTCATTTAAGAGATACTCGTACCTAGCGTGTGTGCCATTGGCTTCTTCGGCTGTTTGGTGGAAAAATTCTTCGTCAGAGATAATTCTTTGTAACAAATCGAAAGTTTTTAGAGGTGAAAAAAACTTGAAACAGCGTAGTTAATGTTCAAAAATTAGTTGCAAATTTGTATCTCGGAAGCCGCAAAATACGTCCAAACAGAGTGAAAATTTCAAAAAATGTCCGGGCCTGTTGAATCCAACAATTGAAAGTGATTTGTGCCGAAAGTACATGAAACAGCGCAATACTTGATATTTTCGTTCCGAGCTGATCATTGTGTTTTTGTTCTTTAAATCTCGCTGAAGATGGGATAGATAATCCCCAAATGCATGCATTAAAGTACGCTTAATGAATACATTCCAGTGCACAAGCAATGCGTCGTATTCTGGTGTACTTTCCACTTTTTTTGAAAAAATTAATTACGATTGAACATTATTTTTGTGCAGAAATTGATGGGAGGGCGTCACCCTTCATATCCACCGGTGATGTGGGACCAGCGGGCTGATGGTTGAAATTGATAAACAAAGCTATAGACAAAGAAGACATAGGGGTTATAGAACATGAAATGGGTGGTTCCTATAGACTAAGGGAGAAAATGATGGACAAACTGCAGGGGTTTCTCGTAGGTTGCCGTTAGTTAGTTTGTATTACCTTCCTCCTTTGTCCATTTCAGCCACCCGCCTCCACCAATGATCCCTCCATATCTTTTTTGTCTTCTTGTCTATAGCTTGTCTATAAATTTCAATAATCGACCCGTAGGCTCTCCCCAGCATATTGACCTAGCCTTGCCTATGTGTTGTTACTTTTTCACCAAGATATGACTTAAAATAATGGGTGGGAATCAGCTAAGATATGCATGGGCTCTCGTTTCAGGGGGAGGTCTCTTGTGGAAGATGAGGCATATACGGAGGAGGACGAGAAGACGTCGTGAGAGAATCAAGCTCATATCGCCGCCGCTCCATCGGACCGTTAGGACTTTCGTCACCAGACAACGCACAACCAATGCAAATTCCGAGAGCAGCTCTTTACATCACCAACAATTAAGCGTTTGATCCAAACGCACTGAACTGTTTGATAGCCCTGAGCAGAGGCGTCTTTCCATCCGCGCTACAGGAAAACCCTGCTTCCTACAGAAATTTTGGAGTGTATTATTGAAGGGCCAAAAAATGTGAGAGCGCATTTCGATGTCCACTTGAGCCCTGTTCTCCGTGTAACTTTTTGTTTTCCAGAGATCATGTGGAAATAAAGATACGCACCTTTGGTTTGGGTCAGAGACTGGAGATTGGGTTTCGCTATGAGCTCGAGGAGACATCGTGATCCTTGAAGTATAACCACAGTTTTGCAGGCGCTTCCCGCGATTGTTTTTCACGGAGAGTTCAAAGTTTCCGAAATTTTCTTTGGGAAGGTGAGGTCCCTTTTTACAAATTCGCGGTCACAATTGTATAGCAATAAAACTCTCTGGCATTTCCACAAGAGTGAAAAAGAGCTTCGTTTCTTTTTCACTGACTCAAAGAGTTTAACGCAGAAGTAGAAAAGTTGGAGGGGGCGAAACGCGTGATACAACTATTCCGACTTCCAAGAAGATGAAATTGCATATCCACAAAATGAAGGAAAACATAAAGTCGTGTCGGCTCTGACTTAGCGACTTTAACGCAAGGGCAGAAAAGTTGGATGGGGCAAAACGTGTGAGACAACTATTTCGACTTCAAATTAGGTAGAGCTGCGTATTCACAAAATGAAGGAGAGTCTCGTTTCGTCTGCCCCAGAGACTTAAACTCAGGAGTAGAAAAATCGGATGGGGCGAAACGCGTGTTACGACTATTTCGACTTCCAAGTAGGTAAAATTGCATACCCACGAAATGAAGGAAAACAATAACTCTTTTCGACTGACTTGGAAACTTTAACACAGGAGCAGAAAAGTTAGATGGGGCAAAACCGCGCGTTAATACGACTATTTCAAACATTCAATTATTTTAAGATAAAATTGCAGATTCACGATATGAGGGAAAACATGGTTTTCTATATCATACCAACTATTCAGCGCGCTATTTTTGCGTGAAAATTACTGCGAACGCTCAATGGCAGGTGGGCTCAATCCCCGGTCGCTCATAATTGCGCTTAGGCCGAAGAGGTTTCTGCACCCCCGCACATATCTCATTGCATTGTTTTAAAACCTCTCCAACTTATGTTTTCAAAGTAGAGCAATTCATCATTATTTCATGATATTTGTGCAGCAGAATATTTTTTATAACGCCGAATGATAAAAAATTGAAAAAAAAAAATAAGCAAATGTAATTTGAAAAATCGTCTAATCATTATAGTAATTCAAGGTTCGTGTATTATTGAACCTTTGCCGACGATTTATTTTCAGCGATGGAACTGATGGAATACAACGTCTTAGAATATCTTGAAAAATTAATTGCATGTCCAAAAATTCCTTAGAGGGTATTTGAGTTTTGGGGCTCAGAGGGCCTCCCTCATGTGTGGCTGCTGCTGTTTCCGAATTAGGCAAATATTCTGCAAATTATGCTCATTCTCTTATTAAACACAAATCCCCACGCACCTTACAATCATTCATAGTACTCCATAGGTTTTTCCCCTTAGATTTAAACTTTTTTCCCTCCATTTCTAGATGAAGACCAGGGCTCATCAAAAGATAGGAGGTATCCAAAAATCAGGAGTTTACCAGTAAGAAAACATTAGAAACTTGGCCCTTGAGCATTGGGCATAAAAAACAATAATATACGTAAAATAAAATAAAAATATATATTTTTTTTTAATATGAATTTAAACTTAAGTAAATTAAGTAGAAATGAGGGGCTTGGAGGACATGGCGCATGCGTGCAGTTTTTGCTATTTCGAGGAATACGTGTTTGAAGTTTCGAAATTACATGAATCTTAATGGTGGAAAGAGTGTTCAAACTGACTTTTTGATACTTGAAAATTGGAATTTGGGAGAGAATTTTTTACAGAATATGCATTAAGACTAGTATTACTTGAAATCATTAATACCTCAATTTTTCGAAAACGGCACTTATGCGCCTTGCCCTCCAAGTCCCTCAAATATGCCTCATGTAAAGAAGAATTTGTTTTTCGGCTCGATAATTTTTGTTCTGCCGTTGAAATATAATAAACTTTAATTTTTTTAATGTGCCGGACTTTTATTTGAATATTTTAGTTTCATAGAACACAGTCTTCTCGGTCACTTACCTTCCTTTTATTTTGTTCATTGTATAGCCCCATTCCCAATCACGCGGCTAAAAGAGACTCTATATCGTAAATCGATCAAAAGCAAAAAATAAAATGAAAAAATTCAAAGTTGAACAATTTGCAATTTTGCAATTTTTCTATAAAGTGACAAGGGAATGAAAGGCATTGCAGTCATGTTAAATCAAAGCATTCAAAGCTTAGGTAAGGAGCGAGATGAATGTGCTTTTTTCCGATGAGGTTTTAATAAAATATTTTTCAGAAAATCCGCGCTTCTCGAAGTACGTTTGTTGCCTAGACGGCAGAATTGAAGGCGAACTGAAGTGGACGATATCAAATCCAACGATAGGTTTATGCGGGCGAAAATTTGAAATAGAGGGCATTCTTGTCCCTGGTCTTTTACTAGCATATAAATACGTTCTACTCCATTTTTTGGTCTAAATATGAAGAAAACACTTTTTTCTAAACAGTGACAAGAAAAAATTGCCTACTAGTCATGTTTTTCGTAATTTTAACCGTTTGATTGGTGTCAAACTCGCGACCGTCTTCTTCGCTGAATTGAAGTTTTTGGTGAACCGTGACGACATCAGTTGGCAAGTAATAATTCTGTTCACTTGGGAGCTCACGACCGTTACGCTCGTTATATCAATCCCGAAGCTAAGTTACGCTACGGCTCTTCGGATTCTCGAAGCTCCTTGGTCCGTAAGCAATTTTTCTGACAGTCCCTGCAGTAAAAATTGCCTGCCCAGCAAGGACCTTCGAAAATTTGGAACTTTTTCAAAGCTCTGTTGCGTCAAAATGACGCGATTCTGGAGAATTTTGTGCAGTACATGGTCGCTTTGATTTTTGCGCCCTTTCACGTGCTTTAATCCGTTTTTCGAAATATCATCTACCAAAAAAGTTATCGCAATTTTAAAATTCGGGAACGCTCGTAACGTCATTTTTCGAAGACGCACGTTCTTGAAAACACGATAAATGAACAGTACGTATAAAAATACCCCAATTTCCAAGTTTTACCTACTTACGACAAATTAACGAGGTATTACATCAATTTGAAAGAAAAGAAATGGCAACTTTGGAAGCGCATAGCTCACTTATGAAGCGTTTTCGGTCAAATGTGTATAGTAAAAATTAGTCATATTTTGAGCCGAAAAATCGATCCTGAAAGTTAAGTGCGTTAACTTCCAGACACCCTGTATATTCACAATCAGTAGCGTGTTTTTAAAAATCGCGGTAACAAAAACGCATCAGCCAATGAGCGCTTGAGCACGTTCAAGGTCTCTTTTGTTAACACATATCTGTGATGGTGGAGCTCTCTGCTGCTTTTGCATCACTGATGTTGGTCTTGGTTGTGTCTCATCCCATGTCTTATCAATCATTGTGATGTGATAACGCCTTCCAAATTTTACAGACTAAATTTTTTTAAATTGGAGCTGACTCTATTGATACCGGTCCATTGAAAGATTTTTCCGCCCATTCCATTTAGTCTAGTTGTATGGAGGTGTGACATATATGAGTTTTAGTCTTGTGCAATTTACAATTATTTAAATCCGTTTTATTTACATTTCAACAATCCAAGGGAGAACTCGCAAATTTCTTTCAAGGAAAGCCTACACATCTAGTATTCTAGTATTGCCCGGTTTGACTAATGAATATGTGTAGTTAATTATCTACTGCGTGCTGCATTAATGAGTTTCCTCTAACCGCTCCTGTCTGTTTCTCCACGTTTGGTTGTTCCTCTAACCATGGTAGGCCATGATGAGTTTTCGCTCTCTTCATTCTGATTTCATCCTGATAGCTTAGTATGATGCGTGCCCTCAAGTCTGTTATATTTCACGTGTGTTTTACAATAAGAATGACTGTTTAAGCATGACATTGTTTTACTTCTGGGCTTCTTCCGTATCATGGTCCGATAGTAGCTTCTATTAAAGAGCGGAGCATGTGAAAAATTTATAGGCAGCTTAGGAAACCATCCTAGTCAGTGAAAGATAAATGTTACAAAATCTGCGCGATAAAATTGCTCTTTCGGTGCAGCATAATATATCACAATGTAATGTTGATAGTGTTAAATTTTGCACTTTGAATAGCAGGGCTTGGCGGAACACTTATCACAACTTCAAAAATTTCCACCAACCCCATTAGTAGAAGGCTAACTTGATGCGTTTATTTAATTCCAGGATTTCTCTTGTCAACAAATTATGCAGGCACTTCCACGTCAAATAAGTTCACATGGCAGAAAATCCGCCATATTCATTCTTACAGTTACTTAACATATAAAAGTGACAGCAGACAATCTCCTGTCGCAGTTTAGAGGTGTGTAAACTTATTTAACGAGGACTCTAATGAAAATTTGGGGACCATGAAGTAAACTTTTTCATCCTCAACCTCAGGAACAATTCATGCCTCAGAATAATTTTTTGGAGTGCTTTTCCTGTTTCATTGATAGTTTGCATCTTAAATTGTTTTGATTATATCCGTGTGATACAATATGTTTTCCTTTCTTTTTTCAGTTTTCTCAAGTTAAAGCAATCATACTGCTTCCAAAGCAACCAAAGCCATTACAAGAAATTTTCAAACTACACAAGCGAAAAATGTCCTCTGCAGCAACTGCAACAGAACCTGAAGTACCTGACGATGTTCTGTTTGAGAGCACAGATGTTTTTGGAGTTGCTACGTTAAATAGACCCAAAGCTTTAAATGCCCTTAATTTGTCTATGGTAACTAAATTGACTCGAAAATTAGAGGAATGGGAAAAGACTAAACAGTTTGTCATTGTAAAAGGTGCAGGAGAAAAGGCTTTTTGTGCTGGTGGTGACGTAAGGTATGCAACAGCATTAGAACCAAGCCAAAACAGCCGAGGAAAAACCTTTTTTCGGAATGAGTATATCATGAATAATTTGATAGGAACCTATTCAATACCATACATTGCTTTAATTGATGGTATAACTATGGGTGGTGGGGTTGGAATATCGGTTCATGGGCATTATAGGATTGCAACTGAGAAAACTTTGTTTGCCATGCCGGAAACCGCAATCGGACTTTTTCCTGATGTTGGTGGCTCCTACTTCTTGCCTCGCTTGATTGGTAAACTAGGTCTTTACCTTGGACTAAGTGGTCATCAGTTGAAAGGTAATTTATTTTCATACAGATATCTCCAGAACCTCGATTACATCAAGGTCCAATTATTACCAATTGTAGCTCATTTTTCCCGAGAGAATAGATTTTGCTAAAAAGAAATTTGACTGGCTCTGGCAAGTGCAAAGTTAGCAATAAAGAAAAGTACCCTCATACGTGTAAAAATTGGGATAGCAACGTAAGTGATTTTGAGGATCAAATTTTATCCTGGCGAGTGTAGAAGGGAAAATTAGCATTTAGTTAACACAATTCCATCGAGAATAGTGTTCTTGAAGTGGGCTTGACAATGATTTGGTAAGGGAAAAACAGTTAAATGTTGGTACAATGTTACAGAGTGTGAGTAAGGGAAGAGGAAGTAGAGGAGAGAGTGAGATAAAATAACATCACAGACAGAGGTAAAGAAACATTTGGTGAAAGTAGGAGACTTGTAAGCAGTTGAAAATGCTGTTATATTTCATTGAGAATATAATACAGGTAGACAGGAAGACTGAGCGAGAGGGTACAGCATGAAGTTTGAATGAGTGAGGAGATGACACTGCAAAGTGACACAGAACGACTGGTATGGGATCCTGGGTTTGAAGGATCCAAGTTTGAAGGAAATTGCAATAGCCTAACATATAGAACTCTTTATTGCAATTTACTGCAGTGAAACATCAACAGCCCTTACTTATAACAAGCATTATGCAGAATAGCAGACATCAATGGGTTCAAGTGCTGTCAATTCTTGTTTTTCTGAGAGAAATCTCACAAATTTTACAAAACACTGATCGGTTTGTCTTGAAAAAAGCACATTCTCACTTAGGCCAACAAAATCACAAAATACAGAAAATTGTTTTCATTTCAGATGTATCCAATGTTAGAGGGTAGGTAATAAAATGGTCAGTTTCCACGAAAATTCTATTTTCGAAAATCATTTTACTAGCTTTACAAGTATGCTGCAATATGGAACGCATTCCCAATCTTGCACTTATGCTATGGCATTAAGTCATAGGCATTAATATTTTTACAAAATAATTTTCCTCCTTTTATTCCTTTCAGGTTCTGACGTAATGAAAGCTGGAATTGCTACTCACTACATTGAAAGCTCAAAGTTACCTAAGCTCTATGAAGAATTGACTAACTCTACAACAGCAGATAATTTAGACTCTGTTATCATAAAACACACAGATCTGATGCACAGTCAACCCTTCTCGCTTCTACCTCTCAGATCTAAAATAGACCATTGTTTCTCGGGTAACACTATTGAGGAAATTGTTCAAAGACTGAAAGAAGATAAATCTGACTGGGCGAATAATACGCTTGAAAATTTGAAGAAAATGTCTCCTCTCTCACTAAAAATCACCAAGCGAGCAAATGATTTTGGCTCCAAACAAAGCTTGCAAGACTGTCTGAAGATGGAAAACAGGCTAGCAGCAGCTGCTATTGAAACACGCGTTTCTAAAGACTTTTACGAAGGTAAAATAATTTTCCGAACTTTTTTGCTAGCCCATTTGCATTGCAAGTATTTATTTTCCATGTTGAATCTGCCCATGAACTTTCAGTTCATCTAAAACCTTTAAATTGTGCTCTTAACGCAAATGACCTCATGAATGTGCTACTTATCTCAATAAACAAATACCGATGCAGCCTAGTAAAAAAACAAAACAAAACAAAACGGCAGCTTTGGGAGTTGATGATTGGAAGAATGTATTGCATTAAGTTTATGGACTCTCACTGTTAAATGTTTGAAGAAAAAAAAAAACAACAAAGGATTCATATCCCAACGTTCATAAGAAAAAGTTTTGCATCAACAACTGAAAAGTGGCAACTTTAATCCAAATTATGTCTTTATCCTACCTTGGACAGATTGTGGATCTATGTTATTAAATATAAAAGTCTTTGAGAAATCCCTGTTTTGTCCAAAGCGAAAGAAAAATAAATGGTTGATTCTTTCAAAACAGACCATACCTACAAAAAATTAGAGGTGAAATTGAAGAAATTAAATCAACTTTTCCCCATTCCCAATTTTCTTGTTTCATGGACCGAGGACGTTTTGTTGTCAGTTAAACTCTAAAATCTAAACACCATTCATCTGCATAATAACTTTAGATGTTTTTTTCCCTGCATTAATTATTTTTAGGCTTATACCTTCATGGGACAAAGAAGAAGTCTTGAACACCTTTGAATCTGGGGTACATTGCTTTTAAATATCTTGACTTTAGGACAATATATTTTGGACCTGATAATCTAGCTCTAATTTCCCACCGAAATTAGAGGAGGTTTTTCCATGATGTAACAGTAAAAGTAGGAGCAAATTGAAAAAAGCAAGACAGTGAAAAAGTTTGCATCCCTTAAAGTATCCAGGATCAAGTCTTTTATCTAATTAATTTCCAATAGCACGGCAGGAGTCTCAGTATGCTTTATTAATTCTATATGTAATTTTATCGCAAAATATAGAGTATTTCATTTTCCAGGTGTTCGAGCTTTGTTAGTGGATAAAGACAAAAACCCAAAATGGAATCCAAAAACACTGGAAGAAATATCAGATGACACCGTCAATAAATGTTTCGGACCATTGGAGCACATTGAGGAAGAAATATCTTACTTAAGGTCTCGTAAGAAATGATCCCAGTTCTTCGATGTTCCGGAGATTTTCTTTTCAAAGCAGCCAATGATGGAGGCCTAAAATTAAAGGTAGATATGAATTAAAAATACAAATGTCTTCCAAATGCTAGAGAACAGAACAGATCCGGTAATAACATGGATGGCAAATCAAGATTAAATCAGCCCCTGCATTTAGATGTAGGTTTTGACTTTTCAGATCATTTTAGTCTATTTGGTTAAAGTACCTGTCATTAAGTGAAGCGCTCGGGTAATTTGTAGCAATAGAAATTTTTTATCACATTTTTAACATTTAAGTGATTTTTACAAATTTCTAAGTAATTGGCAGAGTTTGCCCCTCTTTTTGTTAAGTTCACCATGGAGTACATTTCATTTGTAAACTGTTACACATTTTATCATTACGGATCTAATATTATCTTTCTATGATTTTTTTTAGCTGAAACTTTCTTTCTTTGTAAAGCTGAGAATCAACCGTAAAATTTGTCCACTGCTCTTTTCCATGAGATCTCTTCTATACCTACCTATTTTAGCCAAAGGAGAAGTTTAAGGTACTGTTCCTTAGGCGCAGGTGCACTAGTCAGTTACCAATGATGGCGTGACAATCAGACAAAGGAACTAGGTTGTATTTCCTTTGACAGATTATTGTGCCATCTTCGACAAATTTGAGTGTCTTTGATACCGTATCGTAGGCAATCAAGGAAATTGTTCCTTCAAAACGTAACTTCGGTTTGATATTGGATGAAATTTCTTAAAAGAAATTCTGAAGAAAAAGAAATTTCGGAGAAAAAAGAATTCCCCGAAATTGCTTAATAAGAAAGGGTATGTTTCTGTAGTGATTGAAAAAATGATTGGTAAAGATTGGTGTTGAAGCTTTGGTTGCTTTTTGTATGATTTATTTACTGAATTTTAGTCTATTGAAATGAATACTTTTTAAAGTGATGCAAGCATATCTGATTCGGGAACTGCTTGATTTTCCAATATGGCACTTTTCAAACCTGCTGAGCATTTACTTTTAAATGATTTGTGGTTACCTCTGCAGGATTTTATTTTCACTTGCTTCAAAAATAATGAATTTAATCCTTACCATAAATGCATTAATGGCTTATGAGCAGACTTTCGTTTCCCAAAATTTTATGTGGCTTTTTGAACAGGACTTTTATTTATAAGTATGAATAATTTTAACAATACTAATCTTGTAGCACTCCTTTTTCGATTCTACACCCTCACTCAAGTATTGAACACGAAGTCAGCTTTTCTTTGTACGCTCTTTGAGTGGTGTTATTTAACACTTAATATGAGTAAATGCTACTTTTGATAACAGAATTATGTCAACAAAAACTGCGTTCATCCGTAAAGAGTTATGTAAAGCCAGACCATTTCAGAGAGCAACTTATCAGACTGTTCTCCAGTGGCCCATCATTTACAAAATTTAAGCCATTAACTTTGGTTTCAGTATGGTGTAAAATGGATAAGCCATTAGAGATCCTTGAGAATGGAAACTTAATTAACGAATGGAGAAGGAGCAGTTTTTGTAATTTTCAAGCACTCATTTAAAGTTATGGTATGAGTTAGTGGATTGGGTTTATTAGTTAAAGGCCAAACTCGACTAATTGCTACAGAGGGCTGTACAGCTGTCCATCCTCCATCAATTTATGTATTTAGCAAAGTTTGCTGCACTGAGCTTAAGTATGAAGCATTTGAAGTACAACATTATTATTGGAATGAATTATCAATACTCAGCTTCAAAATGATACTCTCACTTGCTTATAATGTAAAGTTTTGAATTTAACAAAATTTGCGATATTTCAGAAATATGTTTTTTCCATTTTCTTTGGTTACCAATAAAACTAGGAATTATTTGTTAGCCTTTCCTTCTCTGTTCAAAGTACCTGCCTTTTTTTCTCTTCGATAATAAAAATTGAGCCTTCAAGTAAATTTTTTTTAGGTTAAGGTAGGGTAACCTAGAATAAAAGCGGCTACTCGCATTCCTATGGAGAAGCGATCAATCAATAATAAATAAAAAATGAAGTATTCATGGAGTTCATTCTGGGATTGCTGCAAAACAATCCATTGGAGCTGCGTAGTCAATTTTCTGATAGGTTATGCAATTTGAAGTATGCAGAAACAAATATGTGAGCAAAGCACTGGAGACTATATTGTCCATTCAATTACATGCGATTATGGACAATCAAGAGGAGCAGATGGTCTATTTTTGGCCGTGCGAGTAACCCTTCATTGTTATAGGTTATCCTAGTGGAGGGTAAAGGAGAAATGTATGTATCAGCATTGTCTTTCTCTCATTGATGGGCTTAAGCACATGCATTCTTAGGTAATGAAAAAAAATCGAAATATTGTTTCATCCGCATACTTTTAAGTTTGTCATCTTTGCAGATCTGAAATGTGCTTGATTATCAGTTTTTTATTAACTTTTTTGTGGACTTAGTACAAATCATTTTGTTGCATAAATAATAAGATTTTGCAATTTTATATCACTCGTTTGAAGAATCATTTTTTGTGATGTATGCTTTTGTTTCATAAAATAAAAGACACCAATTTTAACCGAAAGAAAATTATTTTTCCCGTTTGCAAAAGATAGGCCATGAGACTCAGGCCTTTGTTTCCTCATTTATGCAAAATACATTTAACGTGTTAAACATTTTCAGAATCCCTTGTAAACTCGATATCAAGGTTTCACTAAAAAATGTCCTCAAATTCCAATGATCAATACTCATATCTGACTTAAGAATATTATTCAGATTACATTTTGCAGTCAGGAGTTACTATTTTCGGACTTCCAAGAAAGTAGCAAAACACACTATCACAGGACTTAAGAGGAGCTGGCAAATTTCGTCCGTTTTGCACCACGACCAACAACAGTTTGAGAGATATTCGTATTTTTCTGGTTGACAAATACGTCCACTTTTCATCACTAGGAAAAATCGACCAGCCCCCGACCCAGACCGAGGGGAAGGGGGGGGGTCAATAATAGGCGTACAGAGAAGCTGTTGTCTCTCTAATAACTTTGTTTCTATATTATTTTATTTTAATAGCACTGATCAGGAACTGCGAAAACGGTAACACCAGATTCGAAGTAAGTAGGAATCGTATCACTGAGTGAGCAATAAGTCTTCCAGAGGGTGAAAAATGAACTAAAAAATAAAACAAATACCTCATTTATTCATCTAAAATTTGAAGCTGAAGGAACTTACTTAGTTGCTAAACAAATAGGTCATCCTTACTTTACAACGGCGACTTAACTTTGGTACAAAACTTTTTTATACTACATATTTCGTACTTACAACTTGCATGGCAGTAAAAACCAAACCTCAAAATGCATGATGACTAAAACAGATATCTGATAGGCAAGGGTTCAAAACTTGAAAATATTTTTTTGTACCATTAAAATGCGTTGCTAAACTCGCCAGCAGGTGACGTTACTTTATGATGTGAAAAATTGTTTTAAAAAAAAAGATGTATGAAATGCAATTTAACTGTCATGGCTGATCCAATCCAAACAGGCTATTGCCGTTGTGATGGAAAGAGGTCACGTTATACCTAAAAATATACCTCAAGTCTGACAAATATTGGACTGCATTTTTAGTGTTAGAAAAAGTAATGATACTCTCAGAAGGTGTTAGAGCACAACGATATAGCTTTGTACAAGTCATTCATTCCATGAAAATAAAATTATTTATACAATAAAAACTCGTCAGCAGTACAAAAGAATAAAATCAGATTTGAGCAATATTATTTTCTCAACATTTTTTAGTGATATATCGATTGGCAAATTTTTGTCGGGAAAGCTTACACTTTTCCACTTGACAGCGAGCAGGTTTATCGTGAGTCTGATCTCAAAAATCGATCACAGTTGCTTGATAAGTTCTTGATTATGGTTTAATTCTGTTTACAGGGCGATGATTTTCCATTCACTTTACACCTTTTCATGATATCATAAATCATTATAATGGAGGCATGAAAAAGGATAAAAAAAAATAGGAGGTCTTGAATTACTTGCCGACAAAATTCTCTTGAATCCTGATAATTAATTCAGAGAAAATGTAAAATGATTTAATGAACAAACACCTGATGTGAAAACCACCTCATTGCTTAAAGCTATTTAATTACTGACAAAATCTTGACAAAAGTATTGATGAATAAAATTCATTTTCTGAGGGTTACATTCACTGTGGAGAACTTTAGTCACAAGACTTTTGATGAGGCCATTATACATTCTTTCGATAGATAGTTCTATTAAATGATGATCTCTCACTCTTTCATACCCCTGCAAAAATTAGGACTAGTGATTCTCATTATTCTAATGGGCCATTTTAATCAAACAAATTTTTTTAGAAAATAAAGAGATACATTTAAGGTTCAATAGTTTTATCATCGATATGTAAGAAACACTTTCAGGTGATGGCTCGGGGGTTCAAGTCGGGATGAAAGTATTTTTTCATGTATTTTCTGATTCAAACTTTCACAGGGAATAAAATGCTAACAATACATAGAAACTTAAAATTGCCTCAAACCTCAGATATTAGGAACTGAAAAAAGTAAGAATTAGGTGAAGAAAAATCGATGACATCATCTGTCTTTTCGTGTTTTGCCCTCGATCAGTGTTAAGTTTAAAAGCATCAATATAATTATTACCGTCTGATTCCAAACTTTCCTTTTGTGCACGGTTTTTTTTGTGAACGTTTTTAAGAAGACATCAGCGAATCACCCTATTATTGCAAAGGAGAACATACATAATACTTATACAATTCTATTAGCTCACCTAATAAGAGCGTTGTTCTCTTGCTAACAGAATAGAATACTGGGAAATAAAAATGGTGACTCCTTGACAAGGAATGACTATGATTAACTGATTAAACTCTTAAATAAGAGTGAGAGACTTCAGGATCAAGAAGAACAGGATAATTACAACAGAGTTGGATTTTTCCTTTCGCTGGGGGGCTATGCCCCCTGACTGCTTCGCAGTCTAGCCTCCCAAAGCGCTTTGCGCCGCAGGCATTATGCATTACTCTTACAATTTTACATTCTGGTGTATGATAACAGGACAAGACACTACCTCATTGGAAAATCATTACGGCAATTCATTTTCGTACACAATCTCATTACAATAGATTTTGATGAAATTGAATGAGAGATTGTATAGACAAAGTATGAGGTACTATAGAGTACAATTTTACCTGTAGAGCATTGCAGCTTATGTTAGGAATTTTGATATCTTCCTGAGATAGTGCAAGAGGGAAAAGAATACTATAAAATACTGATCACTAGCGCATAGCCGAACTCTAATGATAACAGCAACGAAAAAATATGAACAGAGTTTGATGGGAACATGCGAAACAGATTTTGGAAAAAAAAAATGAGTTGGGAGTGGTTTTGTATTTCACTACAGGAAAATTTTCTCCTCTTAAAAATTGAAAGTTGGGAAAAATAACTTGAACGTTAAAATACTCATTAAACTTTGCCCTTAACATTGAATTGTTTGAAGGAATAAAACTTCATGCAGCCTGTTTCAGATGACCGTGCCTTTTTTGCTTCCGGATTTAGCGCCTACAGCTAAATAGACAAAGTTATCTGAAACTGATCTGGTGCGTTTCTGTTAAAATCCGTCCATATATTATCGTTCCTGTCGATCATTATTTTCATACTTTTATTCTAATTTTTTCCCATTTAAATGCAAAGAAAAGAGTTGGAGGAGTCGAGAGGAGTAATCATTGAATTAATTTACTTCCCTGATAATATCATAAAATTCAACCTTTAAAGTTGTGAATTATTGCAGTGGCCTATATTTTAAATAAGATGATTGATTAGTGCCTGTCATTCTTAAAAAAAGAAAAACGATTCCTCTTCCCCGTTCTCCAAATCTTTTGAAAAACCACTAACTATTGATTTGTTTCTTTGTACAAAATAACCTTCGTTCAGCTTGCCACCTCAGAAAGAGCAGCCTTCAAGCCTGGTTTCCTCTTTTTTTATACAACATACAGAACAAATAACAATTAATATATTTACAAAGTTTTCTAAGCTTATGGAGACATTTAGGGGTGCTAACAGTTCTAGACCTCCGCAATTTTTGAAGAGGCCTCTACAATTTTCTGGAACACAGTGAGTTTTGGCTACAAGGTCAACACAACATGCTGATTGGAATTTGCTTCACATGAGACAAATATCGCCGACCAAAAAGAAAAAAAAACCTGTCTGTGTTCACAATTTAGTATCGACCAGCCAGGTGTGCGGTCGAGAGCTATTTGCACCCCTGGAAAAATTCATGTCAACCTGAGAACATCAAAGCTTGAAAAGTGAGGGAGTTATTTTCTCAGTACTTCAGCAAAAATTGTTCTACAACACGGAGAGACTTCTTTGGATAAAGAATATTGAATGAAAATGCACTCTAAATTTCAAAATTTGATGACTTCAGTAAAGACATGACATAACAACAAGACCATGATCGGTCAATAAATGCATTCTCACTTTACACAGACTGACAATAATTAATCTATTTAACAATGATTGGCGGCACTTGAAAGTTAAGTCCAAAATAAAAAATATGTAGGAAGTAATAATGAAACCTGATAATTGGGCAAGGGGAAAAATACTGACAGGGATATTTGTTTACCTGGGGGAACACATTTTCAAAAATTGAAACCTCCAGACTTATGTCCATCAAACAATTTCAAATTTGACTGTAAGCATTCGATTATGTAAAAATTACACATTTTTGGTGGGGAACCGACAGATTTTGACGAATTTTATACGGTTTTTTGGATTCCTATGTTGAAAAAGCTGTCCAATGCCTGATATTTTGCCACCGAGACTACCGAGAGAAAAGAAGGTAAAAATTATCCTCCTGTTAATTTATCAGTTATGTTCAATTCTTTTAATCGAAAATTAATTCCTCTGAATCAAAGAAGCAAATTGGTATTGCTAAGCATAATAAAGTAACAAAACTACTTAACTTTGATCTGCTTTCAGATTTGAAGGAACACTTAAACTATAGTTGTGAAAAATATTATTTTTCAATGATAATAAAAATTGTATGGGTAATAGTAATTGTACTTTCTGTGACAGTTTGGCACAGATTAATTGCATTTTTCCATGAGCTCACGATAATTTTTGCAACCTTTTGAACATCCCTACTACAACTTATTTCACGAGATGTGAGAAAAGCAAATTTGAAAAATAAATTGTTTCTACAACTCGCATCAGACGAATTTGCAGTTGCTTATTTTTAACTGAAATGGAGAGTTAAATAATTAAAGTGTATTGCAAGCAGCAGCATTGTAATTTGGTCAGTCCTTATGTCATTATTGGCCAGTAAGAGCACAGCCGTCTACAAACAAAAAATCTACAACAGCCTAATTTTCTGACAAGAGCACTGGCTGAAAGTGTCAGGCAGGTTATCGACAGTATACCTTAATGTTTATAAACAACTGACACCTATGAAAAGGGTTAATTTTTTTTACCATGAACTTCATCAAGGCCCTGACTCAAAAATTTTTTTTACGCAAAAAAAAATAAAATAAAAAAATACACGAACAACAACATTAATTGATACTTGATAAAACAGTTTTCGATTGATGAATAACCAATTTTCCGAGGCTGTGTGAAAATTGTTCGCTTTTCTTCCAATGCACTGATTGTTACTTCACAAAATACTGGTTTTCCATGGGCCAGAAAGATTATCTTGAAATAGAAATTAAAACTCAGAACTTTCAGCTGGATATACTGATAAATAAACGGCATAGTTTCATTTTGACCATCTTGTAAGTATTGAATTTCAAAGTAGAGCGTCTAGGTTGCATACAAATTGAAAAACAAAATCTTACCACCTTTCTGACTAGTTGTTTTGATATGATAGGTGAAAATATGGGAAGGCTTTCGATGAAATAAGTTACACTAGTACTAGTATGCATGACTCTTTCACCGAGTTACAAAATTAAAGAGGGGGAAAAATTGCTAAAAAAGCAACAATCAGCGCATTTTAATGTTCATGAAAATCTCTCGGGAGTATCACAGAAACAGAAATACTCAGATTGGTATAATACTAAATGATAATGATCAAAATACTGATAAAGACTGAATCAGCTTTTCATAAACCGTCTAACATCCATTTCTTTCAATTTCAAGAAAAATGGAGAAACGTGTAAAAGCCTTTGATTGCAGATGAAAGGAACATTCAATGGCTGATTGGAGCTACTATTGATTATATGTATGAGACAAAATATACACGTTTTCAACTCTTCCTTTTGTTACATAGGTTGTCCCAAAAGTACTGCACGTTTTTTTCTTATTGACGAACGGTAGTAGATATCAAAATGCGGTTTGTGTAGTCTTAAAGATCGGCCAATTACCGATAAAACAAGACAAATCCGAGCTCTCTAAGTCAAAAAATGACCAAGTTACAGCGCTTTGAAAATGACTTGTAGAGGGGACCCCTACGGGATTTTCAGCTTCTTTTCTGGAAAAAAAACAAAAAATTAAGGATTCAAGTGGTTTTATTAAATCAATTTTGCAGAATCTTACCAAGATTACTAGCATTTACTCTTCTTCACTGGATGACTGGACACTAGTTTCTTCTCAAAATACCCTCCATCACTTGCCACACAGCGCCGCAACCGTTCTTCCCAATTCTTCAAAGATGGTTTTTTCGAATTCTTCTTGCCTAATGTTCTTTAAGAAAGTTTCAACAGCTCTTTTCATCTCGTTGATGGAGTTAAACTTCCTGCCTCTTAAGCCCTTTTTCAACGTAGGGAATAACCAAAAATCGCAAGGTGCAAGGTCCGGGCTGATATCATGTTACCAACTTCATTCGATCGCGACGATTTCTCTGTAGAATTTTTGATCAATCAAATTTTTGTTTTTTCCAGAAAAGAAGCTAAAAATCCTGAAGAGGTCACCTCTACAAGTCATTTTCAAAACACTGTAACTTGGTCATTTTTTGACTTAGAGAGCTCAAATTTGTCTTGTTTTATTGGTAATTGCTTGGTCTTTCAGACTACACAAACCGCATTTTGATATCTGCTACCGTTTGTCAAAAAAAAAAAAACAATCAACTCTTTGTTTTTTTCCAGAAAAGAAGCTGAAAATCCCGTAGGGGTCCCCTCTACAAGTCATTTTCAAAACGCTGTAACTTGGTCATTTTTTGACTTAGAGAGCTCGGATTTGTCTTGTTTTACCGGTAATTGGCCGGTCTTTAAGACTACACAAACCGCATTTTGATATCTACTACCGTTCGTCAAAAAGAAAAAAACGTGCAGTACTTTTGGGACAACCTATGTAAAACGGAGAAATTTAAAGAAAAACCCACGGGACATGTCATAGTGTGTAAGGCATTGAAATCTCTGAGTAAAAAAACTGTTCATGGTTCTTTGAATGATAATCAAATATATGTCCCTCCCCAAGAGTGCTCTCAAATCAAATGGAGCAGTATCACTGACTATCCAGAGGCAATTTTTCTCGTTGAGTACTTGAAGTAACTGACTTCAAAATTGAAAAAAATGGATACGAGTTTATGCACGAGTTTTTCAATTCAAAACATCAATGGTATCTTCAAAATTGGAAACAGAAGTGTTCATTGAAGCCAACTTGTATGAGTAACGAATTCTAAAAATCTTTTAGATTTTCATTTCAAAAATATTGATGCAGGTAATTCAATTGATCTCTGTATGAAACTACTGCAAAATATTCTCAGATAAAATCAAAGAATTTGAATACTGCAACATCCCATATGATTTTCTTGAAGTCAAATTTAAAAAAAAATTAAACTTAAGGAGGCAAAACCTCTTAACCAAGAAAAACTTTCCTTTTCCACAAAATGATGAAATTTCTAAGAAAAGAGAAACTTTCTCCTGAAAAATGCCCTATCAAAATTTAACTTGTCATTACAATTTAATGGACAGTGGAGTTGAATAGGGGAAACAGGAAGTTATTTAGGTTTTGTTTAAAATTAAAGTGCCACAAAAGACTGTTACTACTCTACAAGTTTGCCAAGACTAGCAAATATTAGGACTTCATGAACAATCATTATTGCTGATCAATTCAGCATAAAAACCCACGTTTCTTGCATCTAGGAAAAGCTGACAGTACATTTTTCATTCCAAACCTTTGTGACACGCAAGTGTATCTCAAGAACCATTGTGCCATCGACAACTTTTTTATCTTGGCAATACAACAAATTGGCAGTGTCGTAAGAACAAGAACTTGAAGTTAGATTTCAGTGTAAGTCATCTATGGATGGTGATAATATAATTTTTTGAGTATTCTCAATTAGAAGAAGTGCTATACTTTAATTGAAAAAATCCAATGATGAAAAATTAGTTGGCACTTTACTTTGAGGAGTTGTAAAGAGAAGTAATTTAGTACCCTTATATAAAAAAGTCCTAAGCCTTATAATCATTTCAGTTTTCACTCTGAGCAAGAAAAATTGAATGCGTCAGATAATTTATGAATGCGTCAGATAATTTATGAATGCCCTCTACTTACATGAGTTGTACACCAGGAGAAAGATATTGGATTAGCACCTCTGCAAACTATACTTATTCCCATTGAATGTTTTAATTATTTAATAAAAATAAAATGCAACATAATTGTTTCTCCTCAGTAGAGGTTCACAGCCATTTCATAAATGGCAGTTTAATTTAAACGAATGATTCAAAATCAATATTTCTTTCTGAAAATTTATAGCTAGAGCCTCATTTTTTTAGCAATCCACAAAGTAATGATTTAATTGATTATTCTTACCGCAGGACTAAAAGATTGAAACTGACACAAACAATGGAGTTTGGAATGAGAAATCTGCTTTTCAAAACAAAACAAAAAAATACTGTACATTATTTACACATATAACCATTTCATGATTTTGAAATAGTTTCTCTGAGGATACAACCAAAAGTAAGTTTCCTTATTTTACATCTCAAAGACTCCTGTTTATAGCAAATTGGTATTAGAGGTTCTTTAGCTGCAAATTACTTAAGCTTAGGAATTTAGTCAAGAGATACCAAGAAATTTTCTTTCACTAGCACCTAACACTTATCACCGTAATAGTTACAGCAAGTCCAATTTCATGCACTCCTGAATTGGAGCACCAAAAACATTACAAGAAAAGGATAAAAAGGTTTACATTACATGTGGAACTCAAGTAAGTATCTGGTAAGGTATCTTTAGACGATAGAGTTTTGATAAAAGTTTTGTGCATTACAGCTGCATTTAAAAATTTGGATCGGGATGACACCTAAAAATTGGACCACTGTAAAATGAAATGAGTGTAGAAAAAGGGAATTACTTTGGTAAACTTTGGATTGAATTATTCAAGCCTTCTTTGCCTAGAAAACTATGAGAATATGGTTGACAAAATTCCTATCCATGTTGCCTTTTGAGATGTGAAATTAGGAGAGTAACTTATGGATATACTTTGCACAAAGATTTCAAGAACAAACTCGTTAATCAACGATTCATTGACTCGTTGGCGTGAGATCTTTCAAAAAATTATGATAGTCTGAAAACAAAAAAACATAAAAAAATAAATATCATAGGGATGATAGGAAGGTGATGAGGTTGAGAACTAAGTCTGATAATAACTTCGAAATTCACAGCAAAAAACAAAATGGAAACATAACATGATTAAAATTAGCGTATAAAACCTTATATCACAAACGCAGGGAGCACAGCACTTCATATTTGGCGGAGAGTAGACCGAGACTCAGCATCACCGCCAAGATAGATCGTAGCCTTTCCAATTAGGTTGTGGCGCAAGGAATACGCGCCGATTTTCAAACACAAAGCTTACAATTCCTCTGTAACTTGTCCTCGGCACACCACTCTGTAACAAATTCATTACAATCATTGAGAAAAAACATATAAGGTATTTGCTTGATTTCTTACGTTTGACTGAAATAATTTTCAGAATGTTAAATCGCGACTGTTGATACTAGGGAAGGCTCAGAAGTGGCTGCTTCCGATTCCGATGTGGTTTTCAGCGAAAAACACTCTCGATTTTTTGTCCCGATAATTTCAGATTTTTTTGTGTTATTATTCTAATGTTACTTTTTATTTCAATCAATTCAATTTAATTCAATTCATGTAGATAGATACGAGATATATTCTTGTAATAAATATTTACAATAATTTTAAAAAAAATTATGATTGTTCATGGGAGGGGGTAAAGTAAAACCAAACTTGCAGAATGGTAAAACCTGTGGACGAATCAGGATCCAACCTGAATTCTTTCTGAACGCCGAGCGGAAGCCAGACCACCATGCCATCGCTTCCAATGAGCTGGATACCCAAATGCAATGCTGCCAATGCAGATGATGATCGTTGGCTATTCACCATGACTAGCAAAATTAGCGAATTTGATAATGAGTAAAAGTAATATTTTTACTGACCTTAAAGTCATCCATTAGACCGAGCATTCTGGCAGTGTGTTTGAACATGTCCTTTGTATAGTATGGAATACGCACGGTTCCTTCATGCACTATTTGCCGAGCCCTTAGTTCTGGATATGTTACAACAGTGCTTGAATATACCAACTTTGAATATTCTACATCATAATTGTCCTATAACAGAAACAAATATGACAATCTATAGCTATTTCAATGATTGCAACAATGTCACACACTATGGTCGAAAACATAAATCATCATTTTCTGACACAGTATTCTAGAATCATTTTTTTATTGTCTTCATTATTTGAGATTAAAATAGATTTAGCAGCAAAGTGTGTAAAAGCCAGAGACGATAAACTCACAATCAGCTCACTAATGTGGAATTATTTCCTTTCATTGACCTGAAAAAGTCGAATTTTTCTAATTCATTTGAGTATTGCAATCTGAAAGGCAAATTTCCACGATTGGATTCGGTTCACTTTTGCGCCAATTTTCACACAACTGCCAACTGACAAAAAAAAAGAGGCAAAAGCAAAAAACTAAACTCTGCGGTTTGATGAGATTTACAACCTCTCAAGGTGGGTTGAGAAATTTGGATGCAGTCATCATGCTGCAAACGTGAAAACCAAATGTTATAGGCACACCGTTGCCTGGAGGGAATTTCGTTTTGTTGCAACGGAGGTTGGCAGTAAGTCAAAAACTTAACCAAATCCACTTGCGGAAGTTTGCCTGAGGGAGCACAGTTGCAATAACCAGTGGGAATAGGATCAGAATCCAACAAGAAATATTTCAGCAGAAAACTTACTTACTGATATCATCAACTCACCTTAATTAAATATGTTAGATTTTTCTTTGTAAAAGGCACGTAAATATTATTTAAATAAATATACTTTAAATGTTTTTCATAGAAGAGACCACTGAAACAGAGAGGAAAATAGATAATTAATCCGATGAAATCTTAGAATTGCATTAAACATGAAAAAAAAAAAAAAAAAAAAAAAAAAAAAAAATAGAAAAAGAAAGTAGCTAGATTGGAGGTTTAAAATCTACATTTGAGGAATGGGTCAGTGGCCTTTAATTTCTGCAGAGTATCTATCAATAGTTCCCGGTGTAAAATTTCTAGAAAAAACCAAACACTCCATTGAACATTGTAAAAAAGCATTACTAAGGGAAGAAAAAGCTGATCAAAATCTGACCGACCAGATGCACTTCGTTGAGGTCAAGTAAACAGGTCGTGTCTTTCGCTGGGCATAAGCCTACCAATCAGCAGATAAAAATTCCTCGCTTGCCTACATCATGAAGGGCCACCAAAAATATTGTTTCAAATGGGTCCAGAATTTGACGACTTCACAGTCACCTTTACAGCCTTTACAGAAATATTAAAATTATTACTAGCATCAGATAAATTATTCCAACAACTAGAATGGGCCTGTTGCAAACTTTTGCTAGAGCAAAAATAAGAGTTGTTTCTTATAGATAATGCCTCAAAAATCACTATGAGCGCATCGGCAAAGTCTGAAATGCACTCATAACTTCACAGTCTGCGTAAGAAATTTGCGGTTTTTTGAGCTTCCCGCTTCAAAAACGATACTACGGCACAGGTGAACATTTTGTAAGAGGAGTCGTTCCATCGTCGGCAATAATCATCATGGCCGACGCCAATCCGCCAAAACACGTTTGATGGGACGAGATAACACCTGAACTGGATTAGACCAGATAACAATCGGTGTGTTAACGTTCATATTTTCCACGCCCGAATTGATTGACCTTGAACTCTCCTCGAATTACACGCGGAACTGCGCGCAAGCGTCGGCCATGATGAATATCGCCGACGATGGAGCGACTCCTCTAACAAAATGTTCACCTGTGCCGTAGTATCGTTTTTGAAGCGGGAAGCTTAAAAAAACGCAAATTTCTTACGCAGATTGTGAAGTTATGAGTGCATTTCAGACTTTGCCGATGCGCTCATCGTGATTTTTGAGGCATTATCTATAAGAAACAACTCTTATTTTTGCTCTAGCAAAAGTTTGCAACAGGCCCATAGTACTACTTCTTTGTGCCGTCAAACTTATTAAATTGCCAAAAAATGCACTTTTCAGACCCAAATTTCACGAGATTGGCAATTAAAAGTTCCATTTCATAAGCTCATCTTTCACCGGAGATCATGAGAAACATCATAGGTATAAAAAAATTCAAAATTTAGTCAGCACCAAATTTCTTCGTATTATGTGTGTGGGTATTTGCTCAAGAGAGGAGTAAATGCACTCAAGCGGACTGAGACTTGAATAATTCAATTAATTTTTTTATTGTCATTGCTGATTGAAAATTTAATTCCTTAATCAAATTAAAATGTATTTTTCGCCACCCATTGACTTTACTTGATATTGAAGAAAAAACAATCCAGAAGATTATGACAGCTAATTCCATAGGCCTCTCATCATTACCTGGCTATGAAATTCTCGTGGAGAACAGAAAAATCTCATTCGAGCTAAATTCACCCTCTTCGTGAAAAGCTACTCAGATTAACACTGAATGCCAATGATTAAATGGGAGCTTCATAGTTCAGAAGTGCATAAAATTGTACCTGTGAGGCCACTTTGGTGATAGTTCATCCCATAAAGATTTTGTTAACATCCACCCTAGACCAGGGAAGAAATCAGTTCGATAAAGAAGTTCTGGATTTTCAACTGCTATCAAATTCTTCTTGCCGTTATCATTCCATGCTGATATGCACCACAAAGTGGGGTCTGCCAGTAAAATGGGATATGTACCCAAGAAATATTCGAAAAAATCTGGGGCTACTTCTAAATCATCTGAAAAAGCAAAAAGATGCATTCAGTATATCATTATGATACTTAATTATTTTGCAACTTGTGAATAACAAACACTTTACGCTGCTGCAACTGCAATGTAGCTCTTGCATGGGTCAGGAATTTGCGATTTAAGTACAGATTCCTGTTTAAAATTTCGCGAGAAACACAATGATACCACAGCTTTTCTCTGAAATTAACTCCAAAGCTCAAAAAAAGTCTTCCAAGTTGAGGCCGCAATGGAGGGGATATTCCACACTACCCCAAGAGTCCACCTCGATATCAAGACAAACTCTCCGTGCAAAGATAAGGAGCGAATACATTAGCAGGATTGCCATGTTTTCAGTTGTCGAGTCCCTAAACGAAGCGGCAACCCTGGTAATGTATTTGCTCCCTAATTTTGCACAGAAAGTTTGTCTTGATAAACAGTTGGACTCTCAAGGTAGTGTGGGATATCCCTTTCATTACGGCCTCAACTTGGATAGATTTTTTTGAGCTTTGGAGTTGATTTCAGAGAAAACCAGTGGCACATTGTGTTTCTCGTAACATTTTACACAGGGATCTGCACTTAAACTACAAATTCCTGACACATGCAAGAGCGTCATTCAATCCGAGTGAATGTTGAGTAAAATAATGCACTTTTACAGAGCAAAAGGGAATAAAATATCTGTGTGTTAACATTGAAATTAAGGGCATAAGTAAAAACAATTTAATTGAGAGCTATTTCACGCAAAACAAAATCATGATTCCTACAATATATTATTGCAGAATATTTAGTTAAATCGCAAAACCATCCATTTTGTAGAAACTTAATAAACTTGCTCTTTCAATGGATAATTCAGTTACTGTCATAAACCAGCTGCTTTTCCTTTGAGTAAAGATACGTTCTCTCACTCTTTTCACTGAGACTCCGTTCAAAATTATGTTCAAAAGTCCCTCCCGAGAAAAATTACACTTCTGTGTCTCTAAATAAAAGACAAGATTTTAGTGCAAGTTCTTCAATATCTATTCATTTTCATTTTTCTTTACATGATAAAAAAAAGAGTAAAAGAACGAGGTTACAACATACTTTCAAAATAACGTACCTTCAACTATAATAGCTGTCTGGAACTTAAACTTATAAAAAGTTTCATTGAGAGCCCAGCCATAGTGCCTTGCAATTTTAAAATAACCTTTGAATTTTTTCTCTTTTGGAGGAACAGGAATGTCGCTTTGGTCAGGTTGCTGTAAACGGAAAATGATAAATATTGGTTCCATGAAATAAAATAAGTATTATTACCAAGATGAACGATCAGGAATAAGTGAAAGCTTAATACTCTCCTCTCAAGGGCCAAGCACTAGGCGCAAAAAACAGAAAAAAATATTGGTGGAGAATAAACATTACTTACTTTTACTTCCTGTCAATCTCATTGACATTCATAATATTATGTAAACAAAAACAAGAAGTTCCAATGTACTCACAGTGCAAGCCTGATAAGCAAATCAAAGTTGCTTCTAAAGAATATAAAATTTTTAAATTTTGCCACATCGTAGTTTTTTTGTTTGTTTTTTTTTCTTATTTATTGGGACCTTCTACATTATTAGAAATATGCATTGAGTTATTAGAAATATGTATACACATTGTAAATAAAGTTAGATTAAAAGAAAGTTATAAGCAACCGAGAAATTCGTATCTTACTTTCATTATGACTAGGTGAAAACTTTAAGTACCTATTGGTTCAGACCTGGGGGTTCGCCAGCTCCCGAGGCTTCACCCTCTTTAGGCGTCTCAATTCGTCAGAATTGTCGAGTAATAAAAGTGTCTCAGTATATCCACATCATAAATGATACTTAAAATCATTATTTGAGATACTCTATATAAATATAAGAAATGCATTGAGTTTGACTAAGTTGTGACGATGTCGAAAAGCTCAAAAAAATATGGTCACAAATGACTATACCAGGACCAATGAAAAATCGAATTTTCCCACCACAGTAGAGCGTTAAGGGGAGACGAACATAAGGCATTGCCTGCATGCACCTATGAATAATTGGTACAATGATGAAGCAATATATCTGCAAAAGGTGCAGCACTCCATATGGAATGTGTGCTCAAAGTCTACTGACCATTGGGCAGTACCGATAGATCAGAAAGGTAAGAGAAAAAGAACTCACTAAGATATGGTAAATTTGATCTCCATACGACTGGATCACCTCTGCGGTCCTTGCATGATTGCAGTCTTGGGATACGATGATAGGAAACTTTTCTTTTGAGGGTCTATACTTGAGCAATGCATTCAAACATTTGGCCACTGACACTCGATTGCAGGAAAATACCACAACAGCAATGGCATTTTCAGAATGTGCAGTTAGCTCTTGTAGCTGGAGAAAAAAGAAATTAAACCTAAATTGAAAATACCTGATAACTATCTTCAAGTAATGTTTTAATTAGTGTGCGCTTTCTCTTTTGAAACTAACACTCGGATAGAATTATACGATTTTAAAGGAATCATAAAACAATTGTAAGAATTGTTGTTTTGGTTTTTTACTCTGCTCAGCTGAGCCTCACGAAGTTTCAGCAAGTTCATTTTGTATCTTCGACAAAAAGAAGCACATACATTTTGAAAGTTGTAAGCCTTAAAAGTTAAAATTAAAACCGACTAAAATTTTAGGGCTCTAAGACTTACATTAAATCAAAAGAGGTTGAAAAACAAAAAGATGAAATTTATATATATTCAAACAGCAGTAAGTATTTTGAAGAGGAAAACTCTGGCTAAAATCTAATTTGCTAGCTGGATCCTTACTTTAACACATATTGCATGTTTGCACAAGTGTGAGCAGATGAGCCTCATTTTGAAGAATAGAGGGACAATGTGGGGAATCAGGTCATTGGATCAATTGTCAACTGTGAAATACGAAGGGTGTATAAACACCGTCTTCTTCTTTTTCTATGTATAACAAAATAATTAGAGTGGATCCCTTAGAGATGATACTAGCGATAAAAATATCTTGAAATTATGTAGGTACCTCTCATTACCTAAACTCATTTAAAACGTGTTACACTGTAAAATACTGACTTTTTTTTATTTCTACCGACCATTACTTTTACAATCTGTTTCAGTTCTCAAAACCATGAGAGTGGGTGGAGGGGAATCACACTGTAAAAAATACTTCTTCTGTATATGTGTGAGAAGGAACAGTGCCTAATTTACAGCAAAAGTTGTACGTAAAAGTATCATACATTGAAGAGCACTTTTGTTTGGTACTACAACAATAAAAAAATATATAATTGCAAAACTTACTCTCTTGTCATTGTGTAGTGAATTATTATTTCCATCCACACTAGGGCTCTGAGAAGGAGCGCTCACAGGTTTTGGAACGGATGTGACATTTGCTTGGAGATTGGCTTCACTATCTGGAAAGAGGTGAAAAACAAATACAAGAATGGTAAAAATTTCAATGGACGGAAAACTGACACAATACTCTCTACTCAGTGAAGATGGAAGGACGTGTGTCTCTTTATATTCATTCTTGATGACCATTTCCTCTTTTTGGATGGTTCCATGGTGATTCCCATTTCACACATTATTTCCTTTTTTCTTTTTTGTCTATAGGTGAGGGAGGCGGAGGGATGGATCTCTCTTCATGACAGAAAAGACTATGACATTTCAATGGTTGACCTCGGAAGCCACACACCAAAGTTTGCAATGTCCCAGACTTCCCGTCATTCTTGTAATTGGGAAACTAATCATCATGAATTTTCGAAAGTTTCTGTGAGATACTTCACTGTTTGTAGAATTTTCAGAGAAAATTTCATAAAAGAATAATGTGAATTCCATGCCTTCGAGGCAAAACAGTTTACTAAAGTTTTGGACTAAAGAAAATAGAGTTTGGTGATTTACACTAACCCCCCTCCNCCCCCCCCCCCCCCCAATTAAATTTCTCTAGAACAAAGAGTTAGAATATTAAATGGGGACAGAATTTCTTGAGTTTCGATCGTTTCATATTTTTTGAAATTTCCCACTCGAGATTTGTAGTTTCCGACTTGAGCTACTGATGCTCTTATAACGACATTGTAATTAGTGCGATGAGTGAATTATTTTTAGGGATGACAACAGAGACAATCTTCCTACAGTTGGTTACCGTTGACATTCAAAACCACATGAGCGGTGATTTGGTTAATTCTGCCGTGCTAAGGAAGGACGCCGTACAAACCTTCAAGTGTTACCAAATTTCCTTCGCACAAATGTTTATTTTTAAAGAAAGTTATGAATATTTTTCCTTGAAATTTTCAGGAACTTTAGATGAAATTGCGAACGAAATTATCTGAAAACTTAGAAGAAAAATATTCATAATTTTATCAAGAAATTTGTATTTTATCAAAGAAAATTTGGCAACGCCTGGAGGTTTATATAGCGTTTCTCCTTGGCACGACAGAATTATTGAAGTAGGTACAGGGTACACAACAGCGGATTCTGTTGTAACGTGCTTGTGCTGCTACTAATTTCCGTTTCCGCACTTAGCGTTCCTGCGTTCGGACGTGGGAACGTTGCTACCATCAGTGCTACACTGCTACCGCACGGAATCGAGACTTACGGTTCCGAACGTGTCCCCCAAGCAGCTTTCCGATTCGAGATTGCTATAAATGCTATATTTATTACGGAGAGCCGAACCAATTCCGAAAGGGCAAAACCGGAGAGACTCCTAAATCCACTACCACTAGTAAATGGGATCGTCTCATTTTAAAATTCAACACTGGAGAAAAAGACTCTTGGGTCCAGAGTGCAGACTCTAAAAAAATTTGGCAAAAAAAAAAAAAAAAATACCTCTCCTTGATTCAATCGAGAGCCAAGCCTCTCACTTTAAGCGGATTTCCTTTTGATTCAAGCAAAACTCCGATTGAATCAAGAGAATTTTTTCTTGTCAAATTTTTAAAGAGTTTGGACTCTCGGCCCGATAGACTTTTTTCCCCTACTGGAGACAGGGCAACGCCCCCGGTCTTTCAAAAGATGCCCCAGAAATGCCTCTTTTTTGTTCTATCTTCCAAGCATTCAGTTCGATTGAGGATGTTTTTGCCAAAATCATTGCAAATTTTTGGAAAAATCTTTGTTTCGCACCGATTTGAGAGTAATGTCAGGCATTATCAGAAGGACATAAAAGCTATAATATCCGACCACGAGACCGGTTCGGCCGCGCGATGGGGAACTCCTGGACTCCGAGGGAACAGGAAAAACGAGGAATCTTGCCAGATTTTTGCGATTTATTCGTTTTAACGGCGTTTGAGCCGTTAATATTTTATGCAGTCTCCAGGGAACAAATCATAAAATTCCATTCAAATTGGAGATAGGCAAACTTTGGGAGAGGGGTAGAAGATTTCTCCACCCGCATCGTCTCAGACACGAATCCCCCTCCCCCTTCTTTGAGCGTGACGTAATCAATGGACAGCCCTCGCAGCGTAAAATGCAAAGTTTAAATACTTACATCTCATGGTGATAGCTTTCCTAAATTTTTCCAGTAAAAAATTATTGACTACTTCCTCCGAGCGAAGCTTCGTTTCAAACGCTTGTAGTTGGTCCTTCATGGAGTTGGAGCCGCTCTGAAAATACAGAAAGCACAGGAAAAAGGTAACTTCTAGGCAAAGAAGATAAACACCGAACAGGCAAACATAGTAACTGTATGATACTTTTTCGGGGGCGGCCATTTGTCTACGTCAGAATCAAAAAGACCCCGAGAAAAATAGAGGTTTGCGACGTCGTGTGCTTTCGTCACGGTTGAACTACTGTAGGATCGCACGAAATGAAACAGGCACGGCAAAACGATGATATTTGCGTATCTGAGCGTGAAAATACCCAACTGCGTTCAGCACACACAAAACAAAAAAGTAAAAAAGAAGAGGACACGCCGGAGATAAGCTAATGGGCTAGAATTTGGCAGGAGCACGCTGTCACAGGTATTGAAATACCAGTAACTTGTTCATTTCTTAAACTTATAAATTTCCTATGCATATTCAGTTCACTCATTAGGGATGGTTGGATTTCGTACACTTTCGTCTTTTTCAGTCCTATCTCCCAGCCATCACCTTAAATTACCCATTACTTTTATTACTGAACTTACAGCTGATAGCTCCACTGATTATAGCCAGCCAATAGCGTGTAGACTTGTTGTCTCACCACCTGTGACGTCACCAAGTCTATAAAAGCTTGAGCTGCCCATTTCTCATGGTCCTTTTACCATCTTGACCCGTAGTACTACGTTATGCCATTCTCCCTCCGTAGGCATTATTTATTCAAGTGTGACTCTGTAATCATTTTCTAAATTCTATAATACAATTCTTTTCGGCCCTCCAAGTATTTTCGTTCAATTCTTGCTCTCCCACAACTCCGTTAAATTTTCCGCCGCGTCAAGGATTCTTAGACGTTTTTCAGTCCGTCTAAAATGCAAACTAATCCTTCGACGTGACATGGTGCCGACAACCCGTTCTTTGACTCTTTAGCTCAGACCGAACCACCATCGTTCTCACGTGCAACTGCCAGTGTAACTTCCACCCACCTGTTTTACACTTGGCACTCCGCAATTTTTGAAGTTCCTTTTCGACAGAAAAGAAGAGAAGTTCCTGTTCCTACCGGAACAGATGAGCAGTTCTTACGGGGTTACCCTTTCTCTCGTGCATTGCAAAGTGAAAAAAAAGACGTATACCACCATCCGGACTTGGACTTTTTGTGATCTCTGGCTCTCTCCTACTCTCTGGCCTTTGGACTCCAGCCGTACCTCATCTCTCGAACTTGGAACTTCTCATCTAACTCATATGCAAAATAGCACAGGAAAAAGGTAACTTCTAGGCAAAGAAGATAAACACCGAACAGGCAAACATAGTAACTGTATGATACTTTTTCGGGGGCGGCCATTTGTCTACGTCAGAATCAAATTCCCTGGTGCATTGCAAAGTGAAAAAAAAAGACGTATACCATCATCCGGACTTGGACTTTTTGTGATCTCTGGCTCTCTCCTACTCTCTGGCCTTTGGACTCCAGCCGTACCTCATCTCTCGAACTTGGAACTTCTCATCTAACTCATATGCAAAATAGCACAGGAAAAAGGTAACTTCTAGGCAAAGAAGATAAAAGACCCCGAGAAAAATAGAGGTTTGCGACGTCGTGTGCTTTCGTCACGGTTGAACTACTGTAGGATCGCACGAAATGAAACAGGCACGGCAAAACGATGATATTTGCGTATCTGAGCGTGAAAATACCCAACTGCGTTCAGCACACACAAAACAAAAAAGTAAAAAAGAAGAGGACACGCCGGAGATAAGCTAATGGGCTAGAATTTGGCAGGAGCACGCTACCGCGTTTTCACCTGCAGATTCTGGTTATGAATTGAGAATTTGAATACCCCCGCTTCTTTCAAAACCTCAGTTTGCTGAAATGTGTGGCTGAAACAGGGGTGCATGCCCGGACGGGCGCTTGAAAATGTGCAAAAGCCCCCAAAATGTGGAAGGAGGGAAAATTTTGAAGGGTCGTCAGTTGAAAGTCAACAAAAAACAGAATAAAAAATCATCTTTTTTTAAAATTGGTGGAAAATTTTGTGGAAAACCTATGAGAAAAATGTGGAAAGCCCGCGGGCGGGGGCGTAAAACTGTGGAAGCTCGGTAGGTTGTGCACCCCTGGGCTGAATTTTGGCCATTTTTGCGCCCTAAGGCCCCGATGAAAAGTGAAGGGGCGAGATGTTCATACTCTGGAACATGTTACTCTAATTTTGAGTTACATATTTTCAGAGTTCAGCCATCGAGCGGGTTTTTCACTTCTTCAGGGCGCAGGGTACATAGTTTCGAGGGTAAAAGTCAGGTTGACAAGGACACAACAACTAAACTAACTGCGTGACAAAGCGTGTAGTATCGAACGAAATTGAAGGCGCTTCGAGGCGCAGTCGTGCCAGTCAAAACCCTTGTTACGATATCCGATATCCTCATTTCAGTTTCCGTGTTCCAGGTTGGGTTAGGCAACTAAACTAACTACGTGGCAAAGCGTAAAGTTTCAAAAGGCATTGAAGGCGCTTCGAGCCGAAATCGTGCTCTCAATGATCTCTTAATGAAACCCTCACTATACATTCATGATGATGGGACATTCGAACATGTATTCACGTTACTATTGTTCCTCTTAAAAATCCTCAAAGACATTTTAGATTTAAAGGACTATGCTGTCGTGCGTGCTTGCACTTTGTGTAAGACATGCCTTGAGTTCGATACTTTTCGTTTGTTTATACCTCCGTATTTACCTTCCCACTTTCTAGATGATGCACGTGTTGGTAAACATTCGTCTAGCCTGACCTTAAGTCCACCTGCCACCTGCCTGGCCACCTGCTTCAAGTGTGAATAAAGTTGTTTGTTCGATATCACAAGTTGAGTTCATCATTTTTGGTGTGTAGAGCAGCCGTTATAATACGATGATGTTCTTTTTCGGTTCAACATACCTAAATCCATCGAGCTACGTTTTAAAAAAATGCAAACGAAGAATACTAATCCTCTATCTTGAAACACTCCATATTGAGCATCAGCGTTAGAAATAAAGTGATACATCAAGAATTATGAGTGAGTTATTTAAAACTTAGGATCCGTCTCTTTGTGTTTTGATTGGGATTTCCTGGGAGTGGATGTTCTCCATCCTGATTTTGGTTTGAAGAGCCTTCAGTTTCATGATACACGACGCTTTATTCTGCAATTTAGGTGCCTTATCAATCGAACCGAACCCGAATTAAAACCAACAGAGTTCATTTGGCTCTCCATTTGGACGTACTCATGCTAAAAAGAACGATCAGCATAGGGTTTGCCAGCAACATAGTTTATTTTTGCATACATACGTCCATTTGATCTATTTTAACTCGCACGTACTCTTTAAACTTTTTTTCCTGAAGTCTTTCCTCACGCAAATATTCGGGGAGGTGAGCAAGTGTTCCCTTTTTTTGAGGTTGGGCTTTCCTTCATCGGGTTTCATTGCCGGGAGTTTTTTTTTCTTTTGTTATTCTGAGTAAAAAAGGAGGACTTCATCAGAATGACAAAAAACCAAAAACAACTCAAATGGACCGTTTGTTACCGGATTTGGTGTGAAGTTACCCTGTCTCGCTACCACTGCACACATTCAACTTTTCGTAAATCGACAAGAATCAGATGAGAAATCAGGAAACGGGCCATCAAGCAAGTCGATACCGATTGTTGTTTTGAAAATTCATCGTTTCGAAATGTGCATATTAATTGACTAATTTTGATCCGATTCGATTATGAATCGATTACTGTACTTCCGATTACCCAAAAATTGGATGAATCAAGGAACTCTAGCATGTGCATGTGAGCGACGGACATCTTAGGGTACTGGTTGTTATTTTGAAAATTTCCCGTCTTAAAATCTGCACATTAATCGATAGATTTTTATCCAAGTCGATTTTTGATCGATTACTGCACTTTCGATTGTCCAAATATTTTATAAATCGATTAATCTACTAATCGAAGAATTCTAGCATGTGAGCAAGGACATCCCCCCAGGGTACTGGTTGTTATTTTGAAAATTTACTTTTTCAAAATCTGCACATTAATCGAGTAATTTTGATCTAAATCGATTGTTGGTCGATTACTCCACTTTTAATTGTCCAAAATTTCAATAGATCGATTAATCTCCTAATCGAAGAACTCTAGTATGTGAGCATTGGGCATCTTAGGGTACTGGTTGTTATTTTGAAAATTTACAGTTTCAAAATCTGCACATTGATCGATTAATTTTTATCTGATTCGATTGTTGATGGATTACTACACTTTCGGTTGTCCAAAACTTCGATTGATCGATTAATCAACTGATCGAAGAACTCTAGCATGTGAGCACTGGGCATCCCAGGGTACTAGTTGCTATTTTGAAAATTTACCATTTCAAAATCTGCACATTAAGCGATTAATTTTCATCCAATTCGATTGTCCATCGATTAATGAATTTCCGATGGTCCAAAAATTCGATTAAACGATTCATCAACAAATCTGAAAACTCTGGTGATGTGGGCACCCTCGTCACCGACGACGGCAACGAGGTCAGCACGTGCGATTTTCTCTCTTGGGCGACGGAATTCGTTATCGACACACGTCACCACCACGTCACCACCACGTCACCACCACGTCACCACGTCACAGCTCGAAATCCCTGACTCTGATCGAGTGTTGGAGTGCCGCGGCGGCCTCATATCCCTATATACACAGCTCGCTCAAAAATTCATGAGCCGGAATCGGCCCGGCCGGATTGACGTTGCCTGCTCCCGCACAGCGGAACCAACTGATAGAAGAGGTCGGACATGAAATTTTTGGCTAGAAGAGCGACCCTAAAACGACCATTTTTGGCACAATTTGGGTCCGCGGGGATTTTTCTGAAACCGGGCTCAAACGATACCTTATGATACCCTAAAACTCAGGTAAAAATTTTAGCTTGAGCATACACTCAAAAAAAGGTATGACTATGAGACCCATAAAAATTGGCTCAGAGATCCATAATTTCTAGCCAAAGTGACTTACCGTCCACAGTATGACTTTCTGAGCCACACTTCATTGGTCGTGAACCTATAAGC